TTGCTGGGTTTACCAGACCTGGACTCACTCTCTCACTCTCTCTCTCTCTCTCTCTCTCTCTCTCTCTCTCTCTCTCTCTCTCTCTCTCTCTCTCTCTCTCTCTCTACCCCAGCGACTAATGAAAAAGGGGGCCAGGAGCTATGACTTGACCCCTGCAACCACAATTAAGTGAGTTACACAGCTCTGTCATAGCCAGCAGGAGGATCAAGGCTCTTAGTTCCTCCTGCGAGAGTAGGAAGGTGTGCCTCAGCTGGTTCCTCCCCTTCAGCTGTTTCCTTCGCCTCAAATGGTTACTCCACCTCAGCTGGTTCTTTCGCCTCAGCTGGTACCTCCGTCTCTGCTGGTACTCGCTACGGAGTGAGTTAGTTACTCGTGTTACAGCTGTTGCTGGCTTACTATGCTGAGTGGCAGGTGGCTCAGTCGAACACAGGTGGTATCTCTATAAAGATGGCATTGTTTGGGTTAATCGAGTTCAGACACGTTTGAAACACGTGTGTGTGTGTACTAACCTATTTGTGGTAGCAGGGATCGATTCATAGTTCCTGGCCCCGCCTCTTCTCAGATCGCTACTAAGTCCTCTCCCTGCTCCATGAGCTTTATCGAACCTCGCCTCCACTACGTCACTTTCTAGGCTATTCCACTCCCTGAGAACTCTATGACTGAAGAAATACTTCCTAACATCCCTTTGACTCATTGTGACCCCTTGTTTCTGTGTCCCATCTCTGGAACATCCTGTCTTTGTCTACCTTGTCAATTCCTCGCAGTATTTTATATGTTATCATGTATCCCCTGACCCTCCTGTCCTCCAGTGTCGTCAGGGCGATTTCCCTTAACCTTTCTTCGTAGGACATTCCCCTTAGCTCCGGGACTAGTCTTGTTGCAAACCTTTGCACTTTCTTAAATTTCTTGACGTGCTTGTGTGTGTGTGTGTGTGTGTGTGTGTGTGTGTGGACTGGTGACATGCATCAACTAATTCAGTGAATTTTAATTTAGTTTTTTAACTTGTGTATTTAACCTGCACTGCCTTCTTGCCCATGGCACGTCTCTTGCTTATTACCCTCCCGCAGTAGTAGTACTTAATGATGTATTGTTCCAGCTCGTGTGGAACAACGTTGTTCCAGCCCTTGTGGAACAGTGTTCCAGTCCATATGAAACATTGTTCCAGTCCATGTGGAACAACATTGCTCCAGTCCGTGTGGAACAGCGTGTTTACATTCATCTTTAAGAGACCCCAGAGGCTGGGTCACCTTGCCCTTGTGGCGGAACTGCAGTGGCCTAGTGCCTCACTGAGAACTCACCGTCCTAATTTTTAGTCTAAATCGCAGGGAGATTACCCCCTTTCGTTAAATCTTATGTTGGGTTTGTGTGTCTTGGGAAGTCCTTCACCTCCGTCCTACTAACTACACCAAGACCTGTACACATCTACAGACTTCCTAAGACACACAAACCCAACATACCATTACGTCCCATCACTTCCGGGATCGGCAGTGCACCTAACAGACTGGCAGGTATTTTAGCAACACTATCTTAAATGGTGATCATAGTCAGCAGCTCACACTTGCGACATTCTGGAGACCTATCCAGGCTTAACAATGTGATCACTTAAAACGAAAAACTTGCTAGTTTGGACGTGACTTCTCTCTTCACTTGAGTTTCCATCGATCAAGTTATTACTTTCCTTCTCAGCTGTCACTGCCGACCTCAACTTGCCTCTTCCTGTACAGTATTTCATTAACCTTATTGCAGCCTGTGCCAGGTTCAGCCTCTTCACCTTCGGTAATAACATTTACGGACAAAAATCTGGAATGGCTATGGGGTCACCCCTCAGTGGTGTTAGCAAACATCTATTTAGAACACCTTGGGAGGGACAGTTTTAAAGATATACTGTGATCGTTTGACTTAGATATGTGGATGATGTCCTTGTGATTGTTCCCAGGCGTTGCAACCTAGCTCACACTTAACATGGTTGAGCCCTCCATACAATTCACAATAGAAGACAAGAGAGACGGATTTTTACCCTTTCTGGATGTCTTATTCATCAAGGATAGTGATACTTGTACTCTTAAATGCGAGATAGACAGGAAACACACCAATAAGAAAGACTTGTTACATACTTTTCCAACCATGACCTCAAAACCAAGAGGGGACTTTTAGGTTTCTTGACCCAAGCACTCCGAATTTTCAGTGATGAATATTTTTTTGGAGAACAAGAATATATTGAACAGGTGTTCACCAGCTTAAAATTCTTAACTCACATTATTCACTCCTGTTAACAGAAATACTTCCTCGTTCACGGCACACCCAGAGAAAATACCAACATCGATAGACGACTGGTCCTCCCCACTGGGCAGATTGCCAGCACCATCACCCTGATTCTCCTTAAAGTCAACGCGGATATAGCACTCCTTATTACCAGAACTATCAAAGAATTCACCAGAAGCCCTTAACCTAGAACAGTTTACACAGCAGGAGTATACAGCACACCGTGTTGTGGTTGCCATAAATTCTGTCAGGTTGACTAGCAGAGGCCTTCGGACACGCCTATATGAACATAAATATGCCTGCAGGAGGGATAAAACCAACAGCGCATGTGTAGTCCATCGCAACCTTCATTCTCACCTCATGAACATGGGAAGAGCACAGCTGGTACACCAAGAGAACGAGAGGGCCAGACGCTGAATTTTAGGAGCAGCTGTGATCCACCTCATCAAAACCAAATGCGATTACGGAGTAATTGCACGTAAATTGAGGACGTTGGATATAACGGGGAAACTAGGAAAATTGATTTTAAATTTTGTGACAGAACAGTGAGTAGTAATAAACAAAATCCACCAATAGCAAAGTAACAAACTCGGTATCCCAGGGCATAATTCAGGTGTCTTTATTGTTTCTTATCCTCATAACGGATATAGATGAAAACACTCGCCACAGTTTATCATTTTGCAGATACCAAAATAAACATGAAAATCACCTTGGCAGAAGACACGGAAAAATTGCAAGAAGATATAAACAGGCTTCGAATGGGTAGTGAAGAATAACATGACATTCAGTGATAAGTTCCAACTCCTCTAATATGGAGAAAATGAAGAACGTGAGAGAGAGAGACTGTATACAAAGCGCAAGAAGATTGTCATAGTGAACGAAAAAAAATATTTGAAATATCTGGGCATGACTTTTCTTTCAAAGTATACAATAAGGCAGATATTACAACAACCAGGAAAATGACAGGGTAGATAGCGACAACCATCAAAACAAAGGAAACAGTATAAATGATAATTTTCAAATCACCTGTGCTCTGTTGCTTAGATTATTGTTCATCCGTATTATTGACGGTTCCTTCCAGATCAGGAGAGACATGAGACCTAGAACAGATGCAGAGATCATTTATAACCCTCGAAGAATCGGTAGAGCGTTTAAATTACTGGAAATGCCTCATAGACCTAAATGTGTACTTGCTGGGGCGAAGGAGAGAGATAAATGATTACATATACGTAGAAGGTATTTATGGGTCTCGTCCCAAATCAACATATTGCCATAATATACTGGAGTGAGAGGTATGAGGGAATGTATAAAATAAAGCCAGTGAGAAGCAGAGGCGCCATTGGCACAGTAAGAGAACATTATATCAACTTCCGTTGACCCAGACTGTTTAATGTTCCAGCAGAAAGACAACTGGAAGAAGTATAGACGTCTTCAAGAGGAAATCGGACATGTACTTCCACCTAGGGCCAGATCAACTAGGTTGTGATGGATATGTAGGCCACCAGCAAAAACCTGGTTGATCAGGCAAGCACCAAACAGGCCTAGCCCAGGACTGAGCTACGGGAGTAGGAAAACTCTTGAAACGCTTCAAAGGTATATCAAAGGCGGGTTAATGAAGAGACGAAGTGTGCGGGTATGTAGATGGGTGGGTGTGTGGGTATGTAGATGGGTGGTGTGTGGGTATGTAAATGGGTGGGTGTGAGATCAAGGACACAGGCACAAGCGGGGCGGGGAAGAGGGGGTGAAAGTTACTGCGGCTTTCTCCCCCTCCTCCCCATGTCTTCCCCCTTATTATAGCGGTCTGAATGAGATTATTGATCGTTGGCGACCTCCGCTGCTTCGTCCGCACTGGAATAGTATATTGCTGTGAGGCTCTGGGGGGCTGTCTTCTAAATATCTGCGTAGCTAAGATTATCACCTTCTGGTATTGATAGCAATGTGTTTCCTAGCCAGCTGACTTTCCCCATAGAACACCAACCTTTCCCATAGAACACCAACCTTCCCCATACAACACCAACCTTCCCCATACAACACCAACCTTCCCCATACAACACCAACCTTCCCCATACAACACCAACCTTCCCCATACAACACCAACCTTCCCCATACAACCAACTTCCCCATACAACACCAACCTTCCCCGCACAACAACCTTCCCCACACAACCGTCTCCATACAACAACCTTCCCCTACACGATAATGTATCTTGCTGTTGTATAGTTGTATTACATGGTTCAACACTAAACACGTGTATACAGTATGTTTTAACTTGTTCTGATGTATTAACTACTGACGTTTGTTTCAGGAAAAATATATACATTCATTTTGCTTTAAATATGTATAAGTCTGCTTCCTATAGTTGATTAAACGGAGGTTCCGGTTCATGAAGACAAAATAAGTCGTAATGAACGACTGTCAGTGAATATAAAGCAGAATAAACAAGGTCTTGATTCCTCGTTCGTTCATCTCTTTATTCTTCTCAGGTTTGTTTACCACCCACCTGGTGGTCACTGTTCGTGGAGGACTGTATATAATGCTATTATATACCGACAGGTATAATAGTAAGACATAATATGCGGATTATGACATTTTATTGAGATGACTTTTCGCTCACCTGAGCCTTTTAACAGTTACCTGTGGGCGAAACATCGCAATACAGTTCCACAACCCGCATATTGTGTCTTATCAACATGTGTAATGAATTATAGTATGTTCGCTGGCCTATGTTTGTCTTTCTATTTATATTTAAACATAAGGAACTCGTGTAGGTATGTTAGTTTAATGCGCACCTTGGTAATGGTGGTGTGCTATCAATTTTTTATAACTTACTAATCATTAACCAACCTCACTAAATGCCCAAACCACTTCAACAACATCTCACCCTTCTGGATTATATCTCTGGTAACTCCACTACGCTGTCTAATTTCTGTATAATGTGTGTGTGTGTTGTTATTGTGTTTGCAGTTCACCTGGAGGACCTGTACTGTTTCCACTACACTGCCAGCAACGATGACCTTGACAAACGCAGCGGCTGGGACTTGTATAACCCAGCAGCTGAGTACCACCGCATGGGTGTACCCTGTGAGGCCTGGTCACCCACCACATTCAACCACAACTACGAGGTGAGTCTCTCAGAACCTCTGGTCACCCTCCTGTGGTGGGTAACCAGAGGATCTCAACCACAGTTTTCTTTTTAGCCAAATTCGATACATCAGCAATACGCTGCTCCTCTGTTCTTTATGATGGGCACATAGTCTAGACGTTACACCAACCAGTGGCTTTATCGGTACAGTACAGTATAAAAACAGAAGACTGATGATTCACCAAGACTAAGATACTGAACAACTGCTGCTAGGCTGTTTTTGTCCCTGTATTATATTGATAAAGACAGTGGTTGGCGAAACGTCTATATCAGAAAGATACCCAGTTGTTGCACATTTCTGATTCTTCATCTGGCTTTCTTTTTGTCATATACCATCACACGTGATGGATTACATACATAATTATGTTCCTGGAATTACATCACGTGTAATTTCTTTTCGGAGGATCATATATTATTTGTGGTAAGAGCTAAACCCGTAGGAGTCAAACGGCCAGATTTAATCCAAAAGAAGGGGAGAACAGGCCCACTTCCTTGGATCAAGTGCCCCCTCATCGGCATCGAGGCACCTCCCTGGAAGTCTCTCTCCGGAGGTTAGATTAGGTAAGGTAAGGTTCGTCAGGAAATAGGACAAGTGTTTCCTGACGCGGGTTTTAGATGACGACCCGCCGTTGGAGCTTTATAATTCTCTTTCCCATATTTGGGTAACTATATTCCCCGGCTTCCCGGGAGGCGGGGCTCAGCAAGAGTAAGATTTGGTGTCCCTCGACAACCTCAGCAACCATCGTCAAGCCTTCCACACCACAACTGTTGTCACTCATGTTGTCATCGGGATAAGCAGCCTCAGAACAACTGCATATATACTGAAGGAATGTCACTACATCACAACTCGTGCAGCCAACTACGGGAGCTTCAAGGGTATTGTTCCCAGCATAGCTGGAGTTGTTTTATATCGGAGGATGGTGGAAAAAAAGTAGAGTAGACAAAGAGTGGAAGTGGGGAGAGTCAGGCGGACATGGGGGTATGTCTCGAGATGGATATGCGTGGATATGGAGTGTTTGGAGGTGGAGATTGGGGTTCGGGTGGGGATATAAGCAAATTGAGGATGTTTGGTGGTGGCGGGGTGTAGGAAGCAGGAAGGTGTGTAAATAGGTTATCTCACAGAGTCCACCTTCCAGCTCCCACAGGAAAGCACCTGAAGGTAGGTTCCTTGATGCTGGTGAGGGGCTCTTGAGCTAGGGAATTGGATCTGTGCTCCAATTCCCTGAATTAAGCCTGAATGCCTTCCAACCCCCCCCCCCTCACAGGCGCTGTATAATCCCTTAGTCCCTCCCAGAGACTAAGACCGGTGCAGTAGAAGCTACTCACAGAATCTAGCTCTGGGCCCTGATAGTCTGGCCACCAAATCTTCTCTTAGCAACTTTCCATGAGCGTATAAAGGCATTCACACCCCGCATAACTGCTAGCTAGAGGTCAACTCTTGTGGGAAACCTCATCACGTGCTCACCTATAGAGCTGAAATTTTCCCCTGACAAAACTAGGGTGTGAAGATATCGGGGATTATTATTTCTAATACTGTACTAGTGTTACAAACAGATACTGGAGACTGAGTCTCAAGATATCACATTACAACCTAGAGGGAGCACTGGAAAGATTCCAGTGGAAATAAACTTTTCTGCTTGGATTTGTTTCATTCACTTGGTTAATAACCCATTACGGTTAAATAACTTTCTGAAGTTAAATAATCCGCCTGGGTTCGATAACCCTACTAGCTTAAATAGCCCTATGATGCTCATAGGTTAAATAACTCTTTAAATTAAACAGCAGTCTATCACTCTTATATACTGTATTTAATTAACTTGTAAGTCATTTTCTGCAGTATACGCTTGGAATTTACAGCAGTTGATTAATTTACTGTTAAGAGGCAATTAATTGAAACATGTTCCGGCGAGAATTTGGCAATTAGTGAGCAGTGTTGACTGGCTGACTCAGACCCTATTATTATTATTATTATTATTATTATTATTATTATTATTATTATTATTATTGTTGTTGTTGTCGTGGATGCTAAATAGGTAAGCGTATTGCTCACCTTGCTCTGTAATATTTGTTATTTTTTACTGTCAGATCAGTAAACATTGTTAACACCGAGGAATTGGAGCTACCCCTCCCTTTCCTTGGATCACACCTGAGGACCCTCCCTTCCCCAGGGTCAAGGTATTGTATGACCTCTGAAAGTTCAGTCCCTCCTCTTGAATGATAACAAATCACTATTATTATTATTATTATAATCAAAAAGAAGCGCTAAGCCACAAGGGCTATACAGCAACAAATCACTAGATGAGATAAATTTTCTAAATAAATAAATATGTTATACATGTTGAGGAACATTAACCAATTCAGAGGAGTAGTCTAAAAATATTGTTGGCCATCCTATCCCCACAAAATCAAGCAAATTTGTGAAAATATGACATGTTTGGGAAATATTTGAGTAACTGTATAATGAATTACTAGTGTACCTGATGAGAATTAGACATATGTAACATCTGGGTATCTTTAATATGGATGTTTCGCCATCCAGTGGCTTTATCAATACAAATTCTAGGACACAATTTGAAGACAGTAGAACTATATTCAGAAGATGAGGTAATCAGTCCCTCAGCCTTGGAGTTGGTGTGAATAGCACTGTAGTCATGAAGAATCTGGAGCACAGGCAAGAAGGCTGGCGTTTATACACTGGCATCAGGTGAAAAGGGACAGGTAGCAGACAAAGGCATTGTCATGGGTAGGCGGGATTCCGCAGTGGAAAGAGGTCATACCCAAGGGACGGGTTAGTAAAAGTGAAGAAGGTTGTGGAGATGTCCTTTGAACCAAGATTCCAGTATATAAGTGCCAGTCCTCTTGGCTGTGCTCCAGATTCTTCATGACTCCAGTGCTCTTCACACCAATTCCAAGGCTGAGGGACTGATTACTTCATCTTTTGTATATAATTCTTCACGTTATGTCCTTGTATTGTATTCTTCCTCCATACAATTCTTGAGTCTGCATTACATACTTTATCTTATTCCCTTTTGTAAATATCTTTTTCTAGAATGTTAAGTTGCCGATGCTTTACATATGTGGCATACTTGGGTTAGTTGGCACGTTGATGGGTGGTTGTTAATGTGATTAGAATAAAGCCAGTAATTAAGGTAGCTCATATGCCTTACCCAGAGACTAATTAATGCAGTTTTGAGACCCATTTCCTTGTTCATTAGGTCCTGTATTATTCTAGTTAATGAAGGTCTTTTGTGTGGTGTTGATCAATGTACCCTTCATCTTATCTGCAAACATTTCATTCACAGTTTAAGTATGATGCCTTGATGGTATTAAAGGGCTCCTGATCAACAGGCATTTGAGCTGCCCTTCCATTTAGATCAAACCTTATTACCTTCCATTCACCAAGGACTGTAAGACCCCTACAGGCTTAGTGCTTCCTCATACTTATATACATTTTCATTGACTTTTGTTGCACTCAGAATAATATGAGTAATACACAGTAAACAGGCAATGTACTCACCTAATTGTGGTTGCAGGGGTCGAGACTCAGCTTCTGGCCCCGCCTCTTCACTTCATGTTTGATTCTGTGTTTAACATAGCGTGTATATAGTCATTTGTTTAGTGTACACATCACATATACATTAAACTGGAAAGAATTAATAGTTTGATATAGTCATAGTACACAATAGGAATGTATTCATTATAATTATTAACTTGGAATTAAAAATCTTGCCACCCCGGCAACTAACTTATGGTGCTCCCCATATTCTCTCCTGTGGACGTTAGCACAAGAACATATGGGTTCCCAGAAGCCTAGGAACAAGTCCTAAGATGGCTGTATGTATATTAATTACGAATTTGCCTTATCCTGGCATCCCAGCTGCCAATCCAAACCATCTAATCTCTTCCTCATATCTTGTCGGCAGAAGGAATCCCATAGCTTCATGATATTCTACTAGCCAAGGGCAAGCAAAGCTGTTCATAATCTTCTGACCACACTCAGAAGCATTTAACCTAACTACAAAAAACTTTTAATATCTGCTGTTTGAAATGTATATTATTAGTAACTGCATTTCTCATATCTTCAAGATCAATACTAGAGAATTTAGAACTGTTGCATTGATAATTGTGTATTTCTCTTTAGGAGCATTTAATTTATTTGTGATTAAATACAGGTCATTTGAAAGTTGAAAATAATTAGCATTGCATGCTGAAATATATACATGGCAAAGTCTACTACTATACTTGCAACATTTTTTTTTTTGGCAGATCTGTGACACCTACCCTCAGGAACTGTATGTTCCTGCTTCAGCACCCACCAAAGTGATCCTTAGCAGCTCCAAGTTCCGCAGCAAGGGCCGCTTTCCTGTTCTTTCCTACCTCCACAAAAACCAGGTAGGGCACTGTCCCCCTTCTCCCATTCCTTATTGTACATTTCTTCTTCTTTTAACAAACCGGCTATATCCCACCAAAGCAGAGTGGCCCAAAAAGAAAAACAAAAGTTTCTCTTTTTAACTTGAGTAATGTGTACAAGAGAAGGGGGTTACTAGCCCCTTGCTCCCGGCATTTTAGTCGCCTCTTACTACATGCATGGATTACGGAGGAAGAATTCTGTTTCACTTCCCCATGGAGATGAGAGGAAATAAACAAGAAGAACTAGTAAGAAAATAGAAGAAAACCCAGAGGGATGTGTATACATATTCTTGTACATGCATGTGTAGTGTGACCTAAGTGTAAGTAGAAGTAGCAAGATGTATCTGAAATCTTGGATGTTTATGAGACAAAAAAAAAAAAACACCAGCATTCCTACCATCACGTAAAACAATTACATATAGGCTTTTGTTTTACACTCACTTGGCAGGACAGTAGTACCTCCCTGGGCAGTTGCTATTGTAAATTTTTAGAATTAAAAAATTATTATTATAAATGACTACAGTATTATAAGATATTTTATATAATATGTATATGATTTTAAGAATTTTACTTTAAAATAAGGCACCTTAAAGTGCAGATATTGTGCGAGTGACTGTTAAGGGAATGATTACCTGGCTAACCTATTTTAACATCCCACATGATCAACTCAGCCTAAGTAAAAACTCCATGAAAATAAAAGATCCAAAAGTATGTAACTCGCTACCAGAAACCTCTAGAAGTTCCCTATTTGCCAACTGCTTCAAGTAAGTAAATTTATTCAGGTATACACCAATACAGTCACATAGATTATCATACATAGCAGCATATGTGTAGAGAACCCAGGATGACCCAAAAGTGTCAGACAATGTAACTTATTTCCATTGGGGTCCTTTAACCATAGTCATAAAACACCTCATAAATCTGATACAAATCATGAAGATTACCATGTCTCATTTATGTGTTACCCCCCAAATTATACTATCAATATTGTTTTATACAATTGTTTCCCTTGTTATTTTAGGCAGTCTTTATAATAAATAATCTTATCATTCAAACAAATCATGCCAACCTTACCATTCACATAATCAAACGAGCTTATCAGTTCACAGAACAGGTGGGGGTTTGAACCCGTGCTGAGTGAGTAATATAACTCAGGTTAGCATACTGGGCAGTGTGCTAACCTGCCAGTTTTAGGACTTGCTTGCCGGGGATTCGAGCCTCACCCATTCTGTGATTTGTTTGCAACTGTGCTTTCATGATTTCGTGAGACATGATTGAGCTTATCAGTGTTATGTTGTTCTAACTTAGCTTTAAGGTAATCTTAATTTTAAGTTAATTTTAATTTGTCTTCATTGCATTACTTAACCAGGGCTTTTCTGTGTAAATTATCAGTGTAAAAGATTGCATACAGTAGTACTTCAGTATTTGTCAACCTATGTGCAGTACAGTGGTACCTCGGGATAAGAATTTTTTTCGTTCCAGAAGGCTGTTCGGGTGCCAATACCGAATGAATTTGTTCCCATAAGGAATAATGTAAATCAGATTAATCCGTTTCAGACCCCCAAAAATACACTTACAAAAGCACTTACATAAATGCACTTACATAAATGTTCAAGTTTTGAGCTGTTCATATCCTGAGGTACCACTGTATTTTTATGATAAAGATTATATTATTTATTTTATTTATTATATTTATTCTTTCAACAAACCAGCTGTATCCCACCTAGGCAGGGTGACCCAAAAGGAAAAACTAAAGTTTATCCTTGCTCTCAGCATGTTAGCCACCTCTTTATGACACATGGCTTACGGAAGAAGAATTCTGTTCCACTTCCCCATGGAGGTTAAAAAAAAAAAAAAAAAAAAAAAAAAAGACTCCTGCAGGAGTTGAACCCAAGTCTGGTGATATACAGGCAGCTGTTCTGACCGCTGCACCAATTAAAATATAATTAAAATGTGAATTAATGTATGAATGCCATTTTAATATTTTATGATTTTTTAATAATTTTTTGTTAATGTTTTGTTTGCTAATGTTTTGTTAACACTGCTATTTTCTTAAATATAACTTAAGAGTACACCTACCGTCCGACTTACGACCTGCTCGATATACAACCACTCGACTTACGACCATGTTTTGTATGCCAAATTTCTGGGAAATAAACAACTGTTTGTGTTGTACAGAGTGTTTATCCTAAACCTTACAGTATAAAATAAAGTAAAAAATGAAATACCAAAATAAAACAATAAAATAAAATCATTACAAAATTGTGTTGATCTTCAGTAGTAAAGTTCAACTTACATACATTTTGACTTACGACCGGTTAGTCAGAACCAAGCTTGGTCATAAGTCGGATGGTACCTGTAATTTTAACCAGTCAATAAAAGCTGGTAGGTTTTTATTACAAGAACCCATTCAATAACTGAATATATTTATATTTTCACAACGTTATACAACAGATGAAGGTGAGCTGGCCTTTCCCCAGAGTGGCAGATATTGATCACACTTACACTTTTCAGGCTGCATTGTGTCGATCTTCCCAGCCGTTATCTGGCTTCAGTGCTCGCTGCGAGGAGGATGAAGAATTACTTGACTGCATCCTCAGATCCAACCCTAACTCCTCACACATGATTGTCGTTGATACTAGACCAAAGGTTTGCGTTAGAACTGAAGTTAATGTTCTACCTGTGCACTGCCCTTAATTATTACTAAGAATACAATTACTGTGCTGTTCCTTTCTTTGGTAGTGTTTTATTATTTCCCTCTCTGCTCTCTGCATCAGAATTAGGGCTATAACAAAAATGGGGAGGGTCTTATTGTGAAGAAAGTGAGCCTTCAAAAATATTTTGAAAAGAGTGAAATAATATTAACAATAAAAGAATAATAGTAATAAACAATAATAATTAATAATAAAAAATGTAAAAATGTCACTGTACATTTACACTTGATTTATATAAAAATCATTTACATACATATTTCTGTAGTTCAAGACAAATTTTAACTTAGGAGCAATAGTTCTCTTATTATCAGGTTAGTTTTTATGTAGCTTAATAAAATTTACTTGTACATGTTGAAAAGTCTTGCCTTTTGAAGAATGCATAGAATTTGCACATGTCGCATAGTAAACAAGGCTCATGTGGCTGACTGGGGGGGATGTAATATAGATCATTCTGGGAAAGGACCTGAATTGTTCCCTGCAAATAGCCACATGTTGGTAGTATGCTGAAGAACATAGTGTCACTGTTTATACCCTTTAAGATCTTCATGGTGAAGCAATAATGCACTATTTAGAACTATTTATGCAGAATTTTCTCCATATTTTTTTTATTCCTTCTCCAAACATGGCTATAGGCCACACCAAGGCCAGGTCACCTACCATGGTGGTGGGGGATGAGTGGATTTTCCCAATTATGAACCCAGCAATCCCTGGAAGGAAGTTTGAACATGCAGTGCATCACACAATTTTTTGGCTTGGCACCACAGCTGGGTCCATACACTCGCATTTTCCTTATTGGAGGCCATAGGTTCAAATCTAAAATGTTATGTTATAGACCTAACATATTTTATACACAGTATTTCTTTGCATGATTACTGTATATTATACATGTGCTTCCTCACTGTACTTGTACTGTAACATAGGTCACATTTGCTGATTCTTACAATACTGTTATATCTTAGTGTTCCACATCCCTTCACATATTAAATGAGCAGGGGCCTATCATTATACACCAGTACCATGGTTCAGCCAGCCAATCACAAGGAAGCCTGCCAAAGCCGTGAAGCAGTGTGGGACACTTAAGATATAACAGTACTGTAAGAATCCGTGAATGTGACCTATATTACAGTCCTTCCAATTAATGCTTTGCAAATTATTACTTTTAAAATTCATAATAAGTGCTTTCTCTCTTACATGCAGTCTTTCATAATTTCTCTCCCTTGCACTCTTTCCCTCTACTCATTTTTTCCCATATTTCTTATTCTCTCTAAAGCACAGTATTGTGGTATACAGTGTGCATTATATTTCCTTATGCTTCACTGTAATTATAGATGTTTTATCTTTTCCATTACGATTGTCTTGCCGTATGCCTCACTTCCTACATAAGGCTTAATCCACATACATACTGTAGTTATATCTTTCATTCTCTTCACACTGTACGATAACTATGCAGCGCACAAAATGCGTGATAAAGGAATAACAGGAAAAGATGGTAGCCGGATCTATAACTTCCTGACAAATAAAACACAGAGTAATAGTAAACAGAGTAAAGTCCGAGGCAGCTACAGTGAAAAGCTCTGTTCCACAAGGCACAGTACTCACTTCCATCCTATTCCTCATCCTCATATCTGACATAGACAGAGATGTAAGCCATAGCTCTGTGTCTTCCTTTGCGGATGACACCTGAATTACCATGACAGTGACCTCCATCGAAGACACCACAAGACTCCTAGCAGACATCAACCAAATCTTCAAATGGGCCACTCACAACAATATGAGGCTCAGTGAAGTGAAATTTCAACTACAGCCTCTCCTCGCTTAATGACCACGTTGTTAAACAAATTCGTCGCTAAGTAAAGGTATAAAGGTAGTGAGTTTATGTCAACCATCTCTGATATTGTTTTAATGTCACCTTTGCACCATTTATAACATTTCTGGTATATATTTAAATGTTTATACAGTAGTGTACTGTATATTAAAATAAACAGAATAGAGGAAATCGAGTCTAATATACATTATTTAGGTATGAATGCTGGTCAGAGAGCCCGTCGTCAGTCCGAGGCATCAGTAAACAAGTGCATTGCTAAGTGAGGAGAGGCTGTACTCAGATATGAAAAACTTGAGGAAATTAAAACTGTATCAGGGTATTATAAAACAAATTTTAACCATACAATAGAGCAAAAAAAATAATGTGAAGGACCTAGGAGTCATAACATCAGAGGATCTCACCTTCAAAGACCACAACAATGTACAGTGGACCCCCGGTTAACGATATTTTTTCACTCCATAAGTATGTTCAGGTGCCAGTACTGACCGAATTTATTCCCATAAGGAATATTGTGAAGAAGATTAGTCCATTTCAGACCCCCAAACATACACGTACAAACGCACTTACATAAATACACTTACATAATTGGTCGCATTCGGAGGTAATCATTATGCGGGGGTCCACTGTATCTACCCCATCTGCTTGGAAAATGATAGGATGGATAATGAGAACCTTCAAAACTAGGGACTCCAAGCCCATGATGATTCTCTTCAAATCCCTTGTTCTCTCGAGGCTGGAGTACTGCTGTATACTAACTGCCCCCCTTCAAGGCAAGTGAAATTGCTGACCTGGAGAGTGTACATAGAACTTTTATGGCACACATAAGTATGATTAGGCACTTGAATTACTGGAAATGGTTGAAGTCCCTTGATTTATATTCTCTGGAATGCAGACAGGAGAGATACATGATAATATACACTTGGAAAATCCTAGAGGGATTAGTACCAAACTTGCACATGAAAATCACTCCCTATGAAAGCAAAAGACTTTGCAGGAGATGCAACATTCCTCCAATGAAAAGCAGGAGCTCCATGAGCACAGTCAGAGACAACACAATGAATGTCCGGGGCCCAAGACCGTTCAACTGCCTCCCAGCATACATAAGAGGGATTACCAGTAAACCCCTGGCTGTCTTCAAGAAGGCATTGGACAGGCACCTAAAGTCAGTACCTGACCAGCTGGGCTGTGGTTCGTATGTCATTTTGCGTGCGGTCAGCAGTAATAGCCTGGTTGATCAAACCCTGATCCCCCACTAGGCCTGGTCTCAGACCGAGCCGCAGGGGTGGTGAACCCCGAAACCCTCTCCAGGTATAAACCCTTTTGGTACATGCATTTAACATGCACTGATGCTGCTAAGAGGTTCTTGATCCAAGGAATTGGAACTTTTCTCCATTTCCTTGGATAGAACTTGATTATCTCCCATTTCTGGAGGCACTGTTTGACTCCTTTGAGTTTACTGCTCCATGAAAGTAATAACACATAAGTATATGCACTGTTACTATTCTATTCATATTTTGTATGGAAACTGATAAATTATGTATGTACGTACTTCTTTCTCCATGGGGAAGTGGAACAGAATTCTTCCTCGTAAGACATGCGTGTCGTAAGAGGCGACTAAAATGCCGGGAGCAAGAGGCTAGTAAACCCTTCTCCTGTATATATTACTAAATTTGAAAGGAGAAACTTAAGTTTTTTCTTTTGGGCCACCCCACCTCGGTGGGATACGGCTGGTACGTTGATAGATAGATAGTATGTACTTCATGATGCACTCTGTCCCAGTATGATACTCATGTGTTCCTTGTTACAGTATAGATGTCACATAATATTTCACTGTAACACTAATATTTTCATTATCGACATTTTTTTTTTACTCTTTCATGTGACAGTCACATTACTGATCTTGCTTCACCCTAGATCTTCCACTTACTCGTCAGTGGCATCTGTTCTCCAACTATTCAGTTTATCTTAATGCCTTCTTTTCTTTTAACTTATTAAAAAACATGCTCTCAACCCTTTTGAGTTTTTAAAATTATCATCAAATCTTGTTTGTTTCTTTGCTTTTCATTCTTTATCTATAGATTTATAAAACAAAAACTATTTATTTTCCAGATAAATGCCATGGCTAACCGTGCTGCAGGCAAGGGCTATGAAAATGAGGCATATTATGAAAATATTAAGTTCCACTTCTCTGGTATCGAGAATATACATGTGATGAGAGCATCTTTAGCCAAACTAGTAGAGAGTAAGCACCAGTCTGATTAATTACTTATTTTAACCCTTAAACGGTCCAAACAGATCGACGTTCAAATCCGTAGTGCTCCAAAAGTAGATCTACGTTTTTTTTTTACATATTTTAAAAAATATAACAAAAAAATGTAGATAAAAGTTTTTTTACACATTTTCAAATGTAAAACAAGAAAGAAGATCTACATTTTTTACATACTTTCAAATGTTGAAAAAATGTATATATACGTTTGGACCATTTAAGGGTTAAACTGCATTTAGTAGTGTCATCAAAAGTGATATCATGAAAACTAAGTCATTATAATCTCTTATTATCACCTTCCTGATATTTCTTACTTTGGGCAACGACTACCATTTCATATATTTATTTTTATTTTTCGTTAACATATCGGCCATTTCCCACCAGGGTAGGGTGCCCCCAAAATAGAAAAAACTTTCATCATCATTCACTCCATCACTGTCTTGCCAGAGGCACGCTCACACAACAGTTATAACACTGCAACATTAACATCCCTCCTTCAGAGTCCAGGCACTGTACTTCCCATCTCCAGGACTCAAGCCTGGCCTGCCGGTTTCCCCGAATCCCTTCATAAATGTTACCTTGCTCATGCTCCAACATTACGTCAGGTCCTAAAAACCATTTGCTCCTATCTAACATGCTCATGCATGCTTTCTGGAAGTCCAAGCCCCTCGCACACAAAACCTCTTTTACCCCTTCCCTCCAACCTTTCCTAGGCCGACCCCTACCCCACCTTCCCTCCACTACAGATGTATACACTCTCCAAGTCATTCTGTTTTGTTCCATCCTCTCTACATGTCAATATTTGTTAAATCTTAAAATATTACAGTGTTTGAACTGAAAACAGAAAGAGCTCCTGTAAGTTAGTGCCAGTCACACTTGCTTCATAAGCAAAAAGACTTACGTTTAGCATTACAAAATCTAGTTCATTATCAGTAACAGTATGAATGTTTAGGATGAATGGTTTGTGTAACATGTTGTGTTATACTGTACTTATGTATAAATTTCAGCATGCCAGCTTGTAACTCCTTCAATGGCTGGGTTTATCAGTGGTGTGGAGTCATCGGGTTGGCTGAAGCATGTGCGTTCAGTGTTAGACACGGCTGCTTTCATCACCAATTCCATGGTTGAAGGAATCAGTGTTCTGGTACACTGTTCTGATGGCTGGGACCGCACAGCACAGACATCAGCATTAGCTCAGCTCCTCCTTGATCCATACTACCGTACGACAAAAGGATTCCAGGTATTTGTCATCTGTTATAGTACCTGTGTAAACAAGAACTGGGATAAATTAAGAAAGTTGTTACCTGCTTAAATAACAACAGTTCTTTTAAGTTCATGTTTATTTTTATTAGTCTTAGTTGTCAGGAACAGTTGCATTATTTAGTTGCTTAGAAAACAGTAATTGCAATTAAAACCTCAAACACACTGATGTTTCACAATCAGTGCCAAGTAAAGCAAGGCAAAATTTCCAAGTAAACAGGTGATATGAGATTTTTTAAAGAGGAATCTTAGAACAGGATTCAACAGGAAGAAAAAATATGTTGTTTTGCAGTGCATTTTTAAAGAATTTCACAGAAAATGCTTCTTTTATAAGATAAATTGTGTGTAAAAAGTACAACTTTTTATGCAGCTATCAGTTAACGATATTTTATGTTTACCATAATTTTAGGTGTTCTATTTTGGTCATGGGCCATCAAAATATGCCCAATAATTCTTTAGAAAAACTGCAATTTCTAAGAGGGCTTTTTTTCTTAGTATATAACAGCATTTTCACATCTTTCAAAAATCATATGAAAGGTTCATAAAAAAGTCCAAAGTTAAAACATTAAAATATTCAGAAAATTTTGAGGCAAAATTTAGGATATGTTTTGGATTTGTTTTTATACAGAAGTGGTGGTGGTTGCAAAGCAGGTAATATAATAACTGTAAAGAATATATTTTCAGCTAAATAAGACAGATAAAACCTCAGTTATAAATATTGCTTAATGATAATAATGTATTGTTGGTTATGAAACTTTTTTTTTAAACACACCGGCCGTATCCCACCAAGGTAGTGTGGCCCAAAAAGAAAAATGAAAGCTTCTCTTTTTTTAAATTTAGTAACTTATACAGAAGAAGGGGTTACTAGCCCCTCGCTCCCAGCATTTTAGTTACCTCTTACAACACACATGGCTTACGGAGGAAGAATTCTGTTCCACTTCCCCATGGAGATAAGAGGAAATAAACAAGAACAAGAACTAGAAAGAAAATAGAAGAAAATCCAGAGGGGTGTGTATATATATGCTTGTACATGTATGTGTAGTGTGACCTAAGTGTAAGTAGAAGCAGCAAGACGTACCTGAAATCCTGCATGTTTCTTTCTTTCTTTCAACAAGCTGGCCGTATCCCACTGAGGCAGGGTGGCCCAAAAAGAAAAACGAAAGTTTCTCTTTTTAAATTTAGCAATTTATACAGGAGAAGAGGTTAATAGCCCTTTGCTCCTGGCATTTTAGTCGCCTCTTACAACACGCATAGCTTATGGAAGAAGAACTCTGTTCCACTTCCCCATGGAGGTAAGAGGAAATAAACAAGAACAAGAACTAGTAAGGAAATAGAAGAAAACCCAGAGGGGTGTGTATATATATGCTTGTACATGTATGTGGAGTGTGACCTAAGTGTGAGTAGAAGTAGCAAGACGTACCTGAAACTTTGCATTTTTATGAGACAGAAAAATGGACACCAGCAATCCTACCATCATGTAAAACAATTACAGGCTTTCGTTTTACACTCACTTGGCAGGACGGTAGTACCTCCCTGGGCGGCTGCTGTCTACCAACCTACTACCTATATGAAACTGTTTGTTGGTGTTTATAGAAGTTTCTGTTCAACAGATATTAATAGAAAAAGAATGGCTGGCATTCGGGCACAAGTTCACTGATCGTTGTGGACACATACAAGGAGACAGTAAGGAAGTGTCTCCTATCTTCACACAATTCATTGGTATGTATTTTTAGGAAGGATTACCTAAAATATCAATATTTGAAATGAGAAGCATCTGGTGTATTTTTCACTTGTTTTTGGTATTGACGGCTCCACTGCAGTATTCATTCGAATAAATCTTATATGTAAAATATAATACAACATTCATTCATTGTTTTATTTAAATTCATTATTCCATGTTAATAATATCTTGACAAGTATGTGTTTAATTTCTGCAATAATATTCAATTTTTTTTTTAAATAATATCTTGAATATTATTACAGAAATTAAACACATACTTGTCAAAGGAAGGCTGTATTAGTAACATATTTTATATGTACAGCCTCTCCTCACTTAACAACAGAGTTCTGTTCCTAAGACCACATTGGTAAATGAATTCGTCGCTAAGTGAGGAGCATACTATAATAGTATTGGGTTTGTGTCAACCATTTTTTATATTGTTTTAATGTTACCTTTGCACCATTTATAAAATTTTTAATCTATTTTCAAATGTTTATGCAGTAGTGTACTTTATATTGTAATAAACAAAATAGAGGAAATCAGCCTAGTATGGGCCAACAGGCCTCCTGCAGTGTGCCTCCTTTCTTATGTTCTTATATATTACTTGGGTATGCATACCGGTCAGAGAGCCTGTCGTAAATCCGAGTCGCTGGTAAACGAGTATGTCGCTAAGTGAGGAGGCTGTATTAACTTTTCACACTAAATTTTGACATTTGACATTCAGTGAAATTAGATTTATTGAAAGTCTTGTATATTACGTTAGCATTTGGTATATTTGATTGAATCATAAGGGAAAATTAATCATTCTTTTCACTGCCTTATATTTGAAAATAAGACTCGTGATCTATCCTTTCATTCAAAACCTTTTACAAATAAAACTCAAAAGTTGTCAAGAGTAGGAAATTAGTCTTTATGTATACCTAATGGAACAAGTGTAAAAGTAACTATCACAATAAAAAGGAGAAAGTACCATAACTAGAATGATACATAGATAAACCACAAGTAGGAGACTGAACCTTATGACAATGTTTCAGTCTGACTTAGACCATTAACTGATTATGCAGTTACAAGTTGGACCAAAGTGTTGTCATAAGTTTCAGTGCCTTACATGCAGGTTATTTGTGTGTAACTCTAGCAAATACTGTCACACTTAATTTATATATCAATATCTAAACTGTACCATTTAATTATCAATTTTATTTTGATGTGATATATTGTCTTTTATTTGTTATCTTTTACTGTACACCCAATACTTATCCTGTGGGCAGCAGTTGAATGATGTTGCATGATGGGCCAGTCATTAAACCCCAACTCCATATTTTTTGGCTAAATAAGTTACCGGGGTATTGTAATGATACTTTCACAGTAGATGCTTGGTTAGATTTTATATCATTATGTCTCCTTTCTTTCAACACACTGGCCGTACCCCACCGAAGCAGGGTGGCCCAAAAGGAAAAACGAAAGTTTCTCCTTTTACATTTAGTAATATATACAGGAGAAGGGGTTACTAGCCCCTTGCTCCCGGCATTTTAGTCGCCTCTTACAACACGCATGGCTTACGGAGGAAGAATTCTGTTCCACTTCCCCATGGAAGTAAGAGGAAATAGACAAGAAGAAGAGCTAGAAAGAAAATAGAAGAAAACCCAGAGGGGTGTGTGTATATATGTATGTGTAGTGTGACCTAAGTGCAGGTAGAAGTAGCAAGACGTTCCTGAAATCTTGCATGTTTATGAGACAGACAAAAGACACCAGCAATCCTATCATCATGTAAAACAATTACAGGGTTTCGTTGTACACTCACTTGGCAGGATGGTAGTACCTCCGTGGGCGGTTGCTGTTTACCAACCTACTACCTAGGATATCATTATGCATTAAATATTTTTTTCATAATTTTTGAACATTTGGGAAGGAATTGCCTCTAATTTCTTAATTATTTTTTTTTTTTTTTTTTGCCTTCAAGAACTATACGGAATAATGTGTGAAAGAATATTTCTGATGACAGAGTTCTCTTTAATTAAGATATACATCAACTGGCGATACAAACTCCCAAAGATATTTGCAGCTTTGTCAAAACATTCCTGCAAGGCTAGTGAAGACCTTTTCATCACTTTCCTTGGATCAAATCTGATTGCCTCCCATTCTTCAAGCCTCTGTATAGCCCCTACAATTTTAGCACTCCTCCCATGTGATAAATAAATTTGCTGAAACATTAGCATTGGCCTAACTCAAGCAATTCATTTTCTATTAAGCATACTATAGTTATTTTACAGAAAAAGCATGAATTATATTTATAATTACCTACCAGATTGTGTGTGGCAGCTTCAGCAAATTCTACCCTCAGCATTTGAGTTTAATGAAAGATATCTCCTTGTCCTCCATGACCATGTGTATTCATCCCAGTTTGGGACCTTCATTGGTAACTGCCAGAAAGACAGAGTTGATCTAAGGTAAGATGTTTTCAAGGTTTTTTCTTACTGCATTTTTCAATATTGATTAGCATTGCCTTCATTTGGTTACTTAACATTTGATACAAGTTCATAAAAAAAGCTTGTTTGTATTTGTGTCACTTCTATATTTACATAAACTTGTTTATCAATGTATAACTCTGGATACAGATTAGCAGAAAGAACATACTCACTCTGGGGCTTCCTGGGGTGTCACGAGAGTGAGCACAGAAACCCACTCTATCGAAAAGATTCTACTGCTGATGTTTTGCGACTCAACCTCTGCCCTCAGAGTGTCAGGTAAGGGATTCCTTGTGTTATGTTTTGTCTTTAGAATTTTCTTTTAAGTATTTCATGGCATATAAATGAAAAAATTAATTAACATAAGAAATATATTTATTACATAAGGTTAACAGATAAATAAGTTTGAAATAAAACTTAAGCATGGAATTTTGCAGCAAAAAACTATTTTTTAAGATTAGATTAACCCTTTCAGGGTCCGTCCCGTAGATCTACGGCTTTACGTTCAGGGTCCAAACCGTAGATCTACGTCATGAGCTCAGCTCACTCTGATAAACTGTGAGTGGTACATTTGGGCCTAGATATGAGAGAATACATCTATGTGGTATGTGTGCACCACATAAAACAGATCCTGCAGCACACTGTGTATAATGAGAGAAAAAAACTGAAATCATGATTTTTCGATTAAAACAGCGACTTTGCAGTGGTTTTTCGTATGTTTTTTATAGTTGTATTTGTGATTTCTTGGTCTCATTTGATAGAATGGAAGACATATTACAGAAATACAGATGATTTTGATTGGTTTTAGCACTGGAAATGGCTTGAAACTGAGCTCAAAGTAGCAGAAATTCAAGAGTAAACAAACGACCTCACACGTCTAATACACGCCAGCTGGTGGGTCTAATATGCATTCACAAATATGGTGATGATATTTATACAATTATAACAGTATTGCATAACAGTAAATCTTCTATTTTTTGGTGTGAATAAAAATTCATTATGTGAATAAAAAATCAAAATGGAATTTATTTGTAAAGCCTCAAAACGTAACTAATGAACAGAGGAAATGTTAGTTTAGTTCCAGGAATACCTACCTTGTTTATTCTGGATCCTATTTTGAAATTGGAATATTTTGAACTTTGTGTTAATTTGGCCAAATTAACAATTTCCGATCACTTTAATTTGTAGTTGAAACAGTTGACTTGGTGATTTCTTGTGCTCAATCGATAGAATAGAAGTAATACTAGTGAAATAGCTAAGAATTTGGTTGACTGGAATAATGTAATTAGCCTAAAATGGGAGTTAAAGTCGGCAAAATCGCTGATTCGTAAATATCGCTGACACGTCAAAATTCGCGAGAGCATAATTTCGTCAATTTTCCATCAAATTTTGTACTTTTTGTTTTATTACCTTCACAAAAAGATTCTCTACCATTTCATAAGAAAAAATAACAAATTTTTTTTTTTTAAAATTCTTGGACACTGGGGCACCACTTCAGATTTGGGCCTTGGACCCTGAAGGGGTTAAGGAATTTGAGACAGTGATGGTCATAGTGTAAAAAAATTTTTACTCATAATGAAGAATGCTTGTATGATAAATTTCTCTTATATTTTTTTGGAGTGGAACAAATATAATGACCTTTTCATAGCTTCATGACCAGCAAGGAATCTTAAAGAGGTAACACGGTAATAAATGCATAGTGAGGGAAAATGTATCTAGAGCTGAGCAAATAGGAGAGTCAATGAAGATGCTACTTATTAATAATAATAATTAATTTTTTTTATTAACATATCGGCCAATTCCCACCAAGGCAGGGTGGCCTGAAAAAGAAAAACTTTTATCATCATTCACTCCATCAGTGTCTTGCCAGAGAGGTGCTTTATAAAACTTTATAAAACTGCAACACCCCTCTTTCAGCAACCACCCAGGAAGGTACTACCGTCTTGCCAGGTAACCGTGAAACAGAAACCTGTAACTGTTTTACATGATGGTAGGATTGCTGGTGTCTCTTTTCTGTCTCATAAACATGCTGGATAACAGGTACATGTATATCTTACTACTTCTACTTACACTTAGGTCACACTACACAGGCATGCACCTGCATATACATGTATATACATACACACATCTAGGGTTTTTCTTCTTTTTCTTAATAGCTTTTTTTCTTGTTTTTTTTTTCTCTATTGTCCATGGGGAAGTGGAAAAGAATCTTTCCTCTGTAAGCCATGCGTGTTGTATAAGGTGACTAAAATGCCGTAAGCAATGGGCTAGTAATCCCTTCTCCTGTACACATTTACTAAAAATCAGAAGAAAATAATAATATGCAACATTAAATCATTGAAGTGGATGGGTGTATAGTCATTGGTGTGACACTGTGAATGATGTGTGTTATTGAGAAAGGCTAAGCATTGGTGAATTTGGCTAGTACAGTGGACCCCTGGTTAACGATTTTAATCCGTGCAAGAGGGCTCATCGTTATGCGAAATAATCGTTATGCGAATGAATTTTCCCCATAAGAAATAATGGAAATAAAATTAATCCGTGCAAGACGCCCAAAAGTATGAAAAAAATTTTTTTTTACCACATGAAATGTTAATTTTAATACACACAAACTGAAAAAGGCATGCACAATTACATGACACTTACTTTTATTGAAGATCTGGTGATGATTGATGGGATGGGAGGAGGGGAGAGCATTATCTTCTTACTGTTTAGAAGGGGAATCCCCTTCCATTAGGACTTGAGGTAGCAAGTCCTTTTCTGGGGTTACTTCCCTTCTTCTTTTAATGCCACTAGGACCAGCTTGAGAGTCACTGGACCTCTGTCGCACAACAAATCTGTCCATAGAGCTCTGTACTCCCGTTCCTTCAAGACTTTCCTAAAATGGGCCATAACATTGTCATTGAAATAGTCACCAGCACGGCTTGCAACAGCTGTGTCAGGGTGATTTTCATCTATAAAGGTTTGCAGTTCAACCCACTGTGCACACATTTCCTTAATCTTTGAAGTAGGCACAATGGATTCCACAACTGGCATAGGCTTCTCAGGGTTAGCCCCAAACCCTTCAAAATCTTTCTTAATTTCCATACTAATTCTCACCCTTTTTACCACAGGGTTGGCACTAGAAGCTTTCTTGGGGCCCATGGTCACTTATTTTCCAGAAACAACACCGAAAACACTGTAATAATACGAAATATTCCGAGTGTATGCTTGGATGTTACCGCGGAGGCTGGCTGGTAAACAATGGGACGGCCGGCACATGTGAGGGCACATTGGACGCGTCTCGGACGAAAATCGGTAAGCGGGTTTTTAATCGGTATGCGCGGCAAAAATTTTGCGATAAAAGTAATCGTTATGCGGAAAAATCGCTATGTGATGCCATCGTTATGCGGGGGTCCACTGTAATTGGATGGATGACAGCCTTTTCTTTGGCTAGGAGGGTTTCAACTAGCCAGCCACAGGCTTTATCTCCAACATTGGTATATTATGCCAGATCATGCCACTTTTTCACCTAAAGAGAATATGAATACTGTACAAGATGATTTTGTATAGGGCTTATTAGAGAAGAATAAAATTCCACAGAATTTCTTTAATCCACCGAATTTAATGTTTTCTGTGAATTTTCCTAAAATGTTATTGTTTCTTATAGGGAAAGAGGAGCTAAGAGTTTTTTTTTGCAGTACATTAGTTAGAACTTAATCTTGGCTCTGCTTGCAGATTTTGGCGTGGGATGTACAATCGCTTTGAAAATGGTATTCACCCACGAGAGCCACTAGGAGACGTCTTGGCTGCCACTACTGAGCATACACAAGCACTAAATGACCAAGCTGACTTTCTAACCAAGGTGGACTTCTGTAGTTGCTACTGTACTTTTTTTTTTTATATTTTATACATTGGCAGAGCAGAACCAGTAAATTTCTTGAATCTAGGTCTCCCTTAATGAATCTAGGTCTCCCTTAATGAATCTAGGTCTCCCTTAATGAATCTAGGTCCCCCTTAATATATTGCCCTGGAAAAGACTGGGATTTAGTACACCATATGATTCAGTCTGAAAATCTATCAGATTCAGACAAGCCAGCAATGAATGTTTAGTAATTAGAATCTGTAATGAAGAGAGAGTAGGGTCAACATAAGTGTAGAAGTTTTTAAGAAAAACATTTTTCAGGAGATGTCTGATCACCCAGGCTGAGATGGCTATGTGAGCTTGCAGATTACAGTTAGCAGTAGCCTGGTTGATTGGGCATCTACCAGAGAAGTCTAGCCACAGGCCAGGCTGAAAGAGTAGAACAACTCCTGAAACCAATCACAAGTAGAAAGAAAAATCAAATCATCCCAAATTTGCCATTTAATTTTGTAAAAAAGGTAACCAAATATGAAAGGTAGAAAAAGAATAATAATCACTAAAATATTGGTGAATGGTAGGAAGAAATTTGGGTGACATTAAATATGAAAATCTAAAGTGAGATAACATTAAATTATTATAATGGTTATATAGTGCTTAGGAAATGAGAGATAATTAGGTTTGATTAAAACATGGGGCTGGCGGCTCCTTGAAGACAGGCTCAAGTGATGATTCAGTAGCCAATAACTATTTGTTTTACTGTTTCCCTCAGCCATGCATAGACTAGTTTCTCCCAGTCATACACACAGACTTGTTTCTCTCGGCCATACACACAGTTTTGATTCTCTCGGCCATACACACAGTTTTGATTCTCTCGGCCATACACACAGTTTTGTTTCTCTCAGCCATACACACAGACTTATTTCTCTCAGCCATACACACAGTTTTGTTTCTCTCAGCCATACACAGACTTGCTTCTCTCAGCCATACACACAGACTTGTTTCTCTTAACCATACACACAGTTTTGTTTCTCTCGGCCATACACACAGTTTTGTTTCTCTCAGCCATACACAGACTTGCTTCTCTCAGCCATACACACAGACTTGTTTCTCTTGGCCATACATACGGGCTTGTTTCTCTCGGCCATACACACAGTTTTGTTTCTCTCAGCTATACACACAGACTTGTTTCTGCCAGCCATACATACAGACTTGTTTCTCTCAGCCATACACACAGACTTGTTTCTCTCAGCCATACACACAGACTTGTTTCTCTCAGCTATACACACATTTGTTTCCCTCAACCATGTACATAAGCTTGCTTGCCCCTCACTTTTATTTAAAAATAAATCTTTTTCAGTAGTATATAAATGTACATTGTTTCATAATATTCAACTGCTTTTATACAATTTTTTTTGTATTAGTTATTTTGTTGCCAATTCATGGATGAATGTTTTTCCCTGTAATGTGAAAATATTTTACTCTCTGATAATTCCCCATAGAGCAGGTTTTGGTGGAGCGCATCTGTGCCTTATTCTGGGACATTAGTATACACTGGTTTTATGTGTAATTCACATTTTTATTTTTACTAGTTGAAACAAAATTGCAGTCTGATAATACCTGTATAAGTTTTTTTTCTAGCGCATCACATGGCTTAAGAATGAATTGGAGAGAAGAGGGCAGATCACAGCCAAGAAAGGGGCTGGTAGCCACTTCGACAATCGCATCTTAGATGATGCACAACAGGTAATGATAAAACAAGTGCAAAACGTTTTAAATTTGAGAATGTTGTAATTATGTTATTTCATGTAATTTGAAACAAATTTAATCATGGTTTACAACAAAAGTGATTAGATGGAGAGTAATACCAAATAACCATGAGTATTAATTAGATGTGTTGTGGGCTACTAGAGGTACACATATTGAGGTTAGACAACCATTAAGTTGTATAAAATTTATTAGTTCAGCTATCATATGCAGAAAAGCTACATTTTTATATTTTTCCAGTTTAGTGTAAAAAACTAAAATTGGAAAAGGACTTTGCATACTATAATCATGGTGAAGTGGTAAACCCAGTTCACTGGATCACAAGCTCTTCACTGGTATCAGGGCACTTCCATAGAAGGAACAACATTGAAGAATATTGAAATTTAGAGTAATGTTTTAATTTTATTATAGTGTATTCATTAATTTTAGAGCAGTGTAATATCTCAACAGAATGGTGAGGACAAAGTAGACAGTATAGGAGTGCTGGGGATGCGTGAAGTGGAAGAATCCTTGGTGTCTGTTGGGGCTCTCACAGTCGCCAATTCTGCAGAGTCGGACGTTTCATCAGAAAAGATTACTCCTGACTCCAATTTCATCAACCCTTCACATTTTATACAAAGCAGCAAGCTGGTTATGGTAGGTGGGACAGCATATACTGTATGTACAATATTGTACAAAAACTCTTACATGGGTGTGAAGCTTGGGTTGTAAATGCTGCAGCGAGGCAGTTGGAGGCAGTGGAGATGTCCTTTCTAAGGGCAATGTGTAGTGTAAATATTATGCAGAGAATTTGGACTGTGGAAATTAGGAGAAGGTGTGGAGTTAATAAAAGTATTAGAAGGCTGAAGAGGGGTTGTTGAGGTGGTTTGGTCATTTAGAGAGAATGGATCAAAGTAGAATGACATGGAGAGCGTATAAATCTGTAGGGGAAGGAAAGCGGGGTAGGGGTCGTCCTCGAAAAGGTTGGAGGGAGGGGGTAAAGGAGTGAATGGAGACGAGTGGTTTTTGGGACCTGCTGTTTAAGTGTGAGCAGGGTAATATTTAGTGAAGGGATTCAGGGAAACTGGTTATTTTTATATAGCCGGACTTGAGTACTGGAAATGGGAAATACAATACCTGCACTTTAAAGGAGGGGTTTGGGATATTGGCAGTTTGGAGGGATATGTTATATATTTTTATATATGCTTATAAACTGGCACCTCTGCAAAGACAGTGATTATGTATGAGTGAGGTGAAAGTGTTGAATGATGATTAAAGTATTTTATTTTTGGGGATTTTCTTTCTTTTTGGGTCACCCTGCCTCGGTAGGAGACGGCCAACTTGTTGAAAAAAAAAAAGTATGTACAATGGACCCCTGCATAACGATCACCTCCGAATGCGACCAATTATGTAAGTGCGTTTGTAAGTGTATGTTTGGGGGTCTGAAATGGACTAATCTATTTCACAATATTCCTTATGGGAACAAATTCGGTCAGTACTGGCACCTGAACATACTTCTGGAGTGAAAAAATATCGTTAACCGGGGGTCCACTGTATTGCATTGTATGACCCTTGTAGGTTTAGTGCTTTTCTTTTTTAGCATGATGTACTCCCTGTTAGGTTTATCAACTCCAAATTTCCCAAGGTGACATTCATATTTTGTCTGAGTATATATATATTATTATTATTATCATACTGGCCGATTCCCACCAAGGCAGGGTGGCCCGAAAAAGAAAAACTTTCACCATCATTCACTCCATCACTGTCTTGCCAGAAGGGTGCTTTACACTACAGTTTTTAAACTGCAACATTAATACCCCTCCTTCAGGTAAATGTAGGTAATATCTTAAAAAAATATATGAACTTGTTAATGCATCCTCATTTGAGAAATGTTATAATCCTCGGGAAATCCTAAATCCTTAGTGTGTCATGAATCATCTAGAGAATGTGAGGTAATCAGGTTTGATCTAAGGAAAGGTAGAGTAGCTCCAGTTCTTTGATGAGTAGTCTTAAGTTTCAAAACATTCATCTTTAAGGGTTCCTTTATTTAATATATTTTCATCACATAATTTTGGGATTCATACTGCACATTCTTTCTTTTCACTTCAATTCTTTGCATTTATTGTGATACATTCTAGTGTAGAGGCCTCTCATGGATTTTTAAGTAATACATTACATATAATTTTTAACTCATTTTTACATATTGTTGACTTTGTGAATGGAAGAAGTTCAGTATTTGTAACTTCATAATAATGAGTGTAAGTAATATTATTATTATTATTATTATTATTATTATTATTATTATTATTATTATTATTATTATTCTTTCAACAAACAAGCCATATCCCACCTAGGTGGGGTGGCCCAAAAAGAAAAACTAAAGTTTCTCTTTTTAAATTTAGTAATTAATACAGGAGAAGAGGTTACTAGCCCCTTGCTCCTGGCATTTTAGTCGCCTCTTACAAAACGCATGGTTTACAGAGTATTATTATTGGCACTAAACCCAGCTCTTGGAGGATGGCAGGTAATCATGTTTAATCCAAGTAAAAAGGAGGGTAGCTCACAGTCCATGGATCAAGGTTTCATCAGCAACATCAAGGCCCCTTGCTCCCTTGAAAGGTTGCAACTTCCTGCCCAAAATGCTCTATATATCCAGGGGCTTTGCAAAATGTATTAAATAAATGTTTCCTAATTTTGTAACTTTGTTAAAAAAAAAAAAATAGGCCGTTTCCCACTGAGGCAGGATGACCCAAAAAAAGAAAAAAAAATACTTTCATCCTCATTCAACACTCACCATCACTCATACATAATCACTGTCTTTGCAGAGGCGCTCAGATACAACATTTTAGAAGTCCCTCCAAACTGCCAATATCCCAAACCCCTCCTTTAAAGTCCAGGCATTGTACTTCTCATTTCCAGGACTCAAGTCTGGCTAACTGGTTTCCCTGAATCCCTTCACAAAATATTACCCTGCTCACACTCCAAAAGCTCATCTCTCTCTATTCACTCCTATCTAACACACTCATGCATGCTTGCTGTAAGTTCAGGTCCCTCGCCCACAAAACCTCCTTTACCTCCTCCCTCCAACCTTTTTGAGGATGACCCCTACCTCGCCTTCCTTCCCCTACAGATTTATACACTCTCCAAGTCATTCTACTTTGTTCCATTCTTTCTAAATGACCAAACCACCTCAACAACCCCTCTTCACTCCTCTGACTAATACTTTTAGTAACTCACACCACCTCCTAATTTCCACACTCCGAATTCTCTGCATAATATTTACACCACACATTGCCCTTAGAAAGGACATCTCCATATGCCTCCTCACCGCAGCATTTACAACCTAAGCTTCACGCCCATATAAGTGTGTCGGTACCATACATTCCCTTCTTTGCCTTCTTGGATAATGTTTTTTTGTCTCCACAGATACCTCAATGCACCACTCACCTTTTTTCCTTCATCAATTCTATGGTTAACTTCATCTTTCATTAACCCATCCACTGACAAGTCAACTCCTAAATATCTCAAAACATTCACTTCTTCCATACTCTCTTTCTCTAATGTGATATCCAATTTTTCTTTATCTTAATTGTTTGATACCCTCATCACCTTACTCTTATCTATGTTCACTTTCAACTTTCTACCTTTACACACCCTCCCAAACTCATCCACTAACCTTAGCAACTTTTCTTTAGAATCTCCCAAAAGCACAGTATCATCAGCAAAAAGTAACTGTGTCAACTCTCATTTTGTATTTGATTCCCTATAATTTAATCCCACCCCTCTCCCCAACACCCTAGCATTTACTTCTTTTACAACCCCATCTATAAATATATTAAACAACCATGGTGACATTACACATCCCTGTCTAAGACCTACTTTTATGGGGAAGTAATCTCCCTCTCTCCTAGGTACTAGGTTGGTAAACAGCAACCACCCAGGGAGGTACTACCATCCTGCCAAGTGAGTGTACAACGAAAGTCTGTAATTGTTTTACATGATGGTAGGATTGCTGGTGTCCTTTTTTCTGTCTCATGAGCATGCAAGATTTCAGGTACGTCTTGCTACTTCTACTTACACTTGGGTCACACTACACATACATGTACAAGCATATATATACACACCCCTCTGGGTTTTCTTCTATTTTCTTTCTAGTTCTTATTCTTGTTTATTTCCTCTTATCTCCATGGGAAAGTGGAACAGAATTCTTCCTCCGTAAGCCATGCGTGTTGTTAGAGGCGACTAAAATGCTGGGAGCAAGGGGCTAGTAACCTCTTCTCCTGTATATATTACTAAATGTAAAAGGATAAACTTTCGTTTTTCCTTTTGGGCCACTCTGCCTCGGGGGGATACGGCCAGTGTGTTGAAAGAAAGAAGAATCTCCCTCTCTCTCCTACACACCCTAACCTGAGCCTCATTATCCTTATAAAAACTCTTTACAGCATTTAGTAGCTTACTACCTATTCCGTACACTTGCAACATCTGCCACATCGCTCCCCTATCCACTCTATCATATGCCTTTTCTAAATCCATAAATTCAATGAAAACTTCCCTACCTTTATCTAAATACTGTTCACCTATATGCTTCACTTTAAACACTTGATCTACACATCCCTTACCCACTCTAAAATCTCCTTGCTCATCTGCAGTCCTACTGTCTTACCTCTAATTCTTTCAGTAATAACCCTACCATACACTTTACCTGGTAACTGTTATGTATATTTTGAAAATAAAATATATTTAGTTGTTTGTTGATATAGTACTAGACTTTCATATTTACTTAGAGCAGTTCAGGCACATTTTTCTATACTAGTGAGGGGCTCCTGGTGCAAAGAATTGAAGCTGTCCTTCCCTTCCTAGGATGAACCTGATTGCCTTCCATTCCTCTAGGTATTGTATAATGCCTATGGGCTTGGTACTCTTTCCTAAATATATTAATATCTCCTGTGTATTTCCAGAACCAACTATTGTCATACCAAGTTGATCGTGCAGTCTCTCCAGACTTGTCATCAGTGGTTCTTGACTGGAAGACTTTCAGAAATGTACGAGAATGCTCTTGTTCAACTCCTTTTGACCACTTCAGTCGCAAGGTTAGTAATAATAAATCTGTTTATTTTATTTTACCCCAGTATTTCCCACCAAGGTAAGTCATCCTAAAAGATGAAAAAGTTATTGAGTAGATTGAGCAGAAAAGGTGGGTGGGGTGGGGAGGGGAGACTATTGCCTTAAGAGTACTATAACAGTGTGAGATGAAGGAAGGCCTGAACAAGTGCTTGTTTAGTACAGGCTGGTTCTACAAATTCATATCATACATTTGGTTGCATAATATTAAATTTTCTGGCAAAAGTGCTTCTGCTGACCACACAGCTACAGGGAATTTTCCTTCAGAATTGGCAGTAATGATTTCTGAAAGTGACTACAAGCCACAAGTGTTGACTTTAATCCTTTCAGGGTCCATGCTGTAGATCTATGGCTTTACATTCAGGGTCCAAACCGTAGATCTATGCCAAAATTCTAGTGGCGTCAAATTTAGCGCGAAAAGGCTGGTAGGTCTACATGTAAAAGAACGGGTCTGCATGGTGTGTGTGCGCCATAAACAAAAATTCTAGGCGCCCGCATAGCATTGTGTGAACGCCGGCTCAGTTACCTTTGTTCACCATGCCTCTTCGCAAGGCAGCTCTCACTCCAAGGAAAATTGGGACTCTCCTCTTCCTATCTGATAGTTCTGACTCTGATAATAGTACAGAAAACCCTGACGATCCTCAACCTTCTACCTCTTGTGTGGGCACTCCTCAGTCACGGTCAGTTGTACCTCATCGCAAGATAAAACTATTATTTTCACATGGCCAGGCCTCTGCCTTCAGTAATGACGATGATAGTGACGTGGATTGTGATTTTATTGCTCTTGACAATCATTCCAGTAGTGATAGTGAGGAAACATATTCACCAGTGAAGCGTCGGTATATACGCCGCTGCATGCGCTCGGGTAGTGTTCCCTATGCAGTGCCCAGGGGACGGAGTACATCCCATGGCCCTACACCAGGAATACACAGTGAAAGTGAGGATGATGTGGCTACACGTGGCATGGATAGACCACAGGCATCAGTAGGTGGTGGTAGTGGTGATGGTAGTGCCATGACCATGAATGACTCACCAGCCCAGGCTGGGACCCACGCTGCTGACTCCTCAGTTCAGGGACAAAGCAGAGCGTCAGCCACCAGCCCACCACAACTACCAGCACAACCAGCCTATGATGTCCAGTATCCACCAGCAAACTGTATCTGGGATTGGCAGCAAAATCCCAGTTTTGTTCCCAAGCCCCACCAGTTTGATGACTCTCAAAGTGGAATTCTACTTACTTGTTCCCTTGGAACCACTGCCAATGAACTGGAATTTTTTGAACTCTTCTTTGATCAGCCCTTGATGGAAACTATTGTCAGGGAAAGTAACAAGTATTTTGAGTACACCATGGCAAATACAATATCACCACAGTCAAGACTACACCGGTGGAAACTGACAACTGTTGCAGAAATGTATTTGCTTTTTGCAACAATAATGCTTATGCCTCATGTCTATAAGCATAATATAAAAGCATACTGGTCCACAGATTGGCTAATTTCTACCCCAGTCTTCAGTGAAATCATCCCAGTGAACAGGTTTATCTTACTGTTACATATGTTGCACTTCTCTGACAAAACCAAGCCTGACAGAAGTGACAGGTTATACAAGATTAGAAATGTTTTTATGTATCTCAAACAAAAGTTACACATGTACTTTTATCCATTCAAGAATCTTGTACTTGAATGTTTGAATGACAGGTAGACTGTCATTCAAACAGTATATACCGAGCAAGAGGAAACGCTTTGGTATAAAACTGTTTGTACTCTGCGACTGTGACAGTGGTATTGGATACTGTTGTATACATGGGAAATAAAACATTGAAAGATACCAGGATGTTATTGGGTATCTCAGGTGATGTAGTGAGAAGCATGATGGCACCTTATCTTGGTAAGGGGCATACATTATATACCGATAACTGATACACAAGCCCTTTACTCATTGATTTCTTGCGAGTGAACAAGACAGATGTGTGTGGCACAGTGCATTCTAATCGTAAACATATGCCCAGGTTTAACGCAGGCACTTGTGGTGATGAGGTGCAGGTGTTTACTGCCAATGACATCATGGCATTACGGTTGCATGACAAACAAGATGTCACATTGTTGACAACCATTCACCGTAACGAAATGCAAGACAGTGGCAAAGTTGATAGAATGACTAATGAACATATTCAAAAACCAGTGACAGTGATAGATTACACATAAAACATGCGCTTGGTTGACAAATGTGAAATGCAGATTGACTTTGTTGATTGTGTTCATAAGAGTTACAAGTGGTATATGAAACTTTTCTTTCATCTCATGGACATTTCGATGCTCAATGCATATAATATGTACCAAATGAAGACTGGCAACAGACCACCGTATGGTGAATTTTGTTTGTCTGTTGTCAGACAACTCGTAATGAAAAACTGTACCAGGTAACAACACCTGCTATACAAAACCGTCCTCGAACTCCTCAGGATATACCCAAGCGTTTGAGGAGGGAAGGTGATCACTTCATAATACAGCTTCCTGCAACTAAGAAGAAATTTGCTCAGAAGAGATGTGTTGTCTGTGCACAAACAAAACGACGGCAACAAAGATGCAAAGACACTCGGTTTATGTGCAAGGAATGTAAGGTAGCTCTGTGCATGGTGCCTTGTTTCAAGGAGTTCCACAAGCTGCAGCAGTTCTAAAAACATGTCCAGTGATTGTACCTATGTAAATATATGATAGAACATTAGTATTATACAAGATTTGTGCATGTTTATTGTAATAAGCAAAAGTGGTAAACAATTTTAGTGCGGTTATTGTGTTCAATACAGTGAGTTTATATATATACATTATATACAGTATTGGTCTCTCAGGCCCCAAATGTTAGTAGGAAAAGAAAAAATTAGAAAAGAAAAGAAAAACACTATAAAAAACGTAAAATAAACTAATGCACGTATGTGGAAATCGTCAATGTTGCCGCCACCTGGTCACTTTGGGTCAACTTCTCGGCACTGTATCTCGGTAAGTACTGATCACAAAATATACTCTTTAATTCGGTAAGAATTTTTTTTTTTTTTTTAATTTCTTGGACACTGGGGCACCCCTTCCGATTTTGGTCTTGGACCCTGAAAGGGTTAATACTGATGAGATGTGTCTTTATTGAAGATGATGCCATCAAGAACTTACTTCAGCAAGTAAGAGAAAAGTGCATCAGGATTCAAAGCAGTGTAGGATCATTTCAGTTTGCTACTGTGCAGTAATTCATCAGGCAATTTAAGTGTAAGCCCATGTTAGCATATTTACTGTTCCAAGACTCCTTGTGCTCTGAAAAGTACAGACAAGGTACAGTCAAACCAGTCATTATGGATGAAGGAGGAATTATTTGCAGACTAGTTTAACCCCTTCACTGTCAGAAGGCCCAGAATTGAGTGTTAACAATATCAGAATTTTTCCAAAAAAATCTTAAAAATAAAAGTGCATTTTTATTGAGGTAATGAAACCAAAAAAAGTAATTCCCATCAGTACTTACCAAGATATGAAGGCATGAAGTTGAAGGTTGATGACCTGCTGATGGCAACATTGGTGATTGCTGCCTGCTCCACATTTTTTTTTTTTTTTTTTTTTTTTACTCTTGTTCTGAGATTTTAAAAATTTTTTACATTTTTCAATAACTTTTGTGCCCCATGAGGCTCGTATTATGCACAATGTACACATATCCATCTGTTGTATGCAACACAATACCCCACTAATAGTGTTATCAGTACATTGTTTACACAACAACATGGTTTAGAAAGACACGTAAGCAAACACTATAACATATATATTAGAAAACGTTTCGGTCCTGGGACCTTGATCAAGTGATCAAGGTCCCAGGACCGAAACGTTTTCTAATAAATATGTTATAGTGTTTGCTTACGTGTCTTTCTAAACCAACTTGTCGGTATTTATTACCAAGGTTTATACCACACAACAACATAAACACACACACAGGTATAGATGTTTCACATTACTGCTGTTCTAACATTTATGTACATAAATATACAGACACTGATCATGTTGCTAGAACTGTTGCAATCTGTAGACATTCCTGAAACATGGCTCCATACACATAAGAAAATAAGAACATAAGAAATAAGGAACACTGCAGGAGGCCTGTTGGCCCATACTAGGCAGATCCTTTGCAATTCATCCCACTAACAAAACATTTGCCCAACCCAATTTTCAATGCTACCAAAGAAATAAGCTCTGATGTGCAAGTCCAAATCAAATCCAACCCCTCCCACTCATGTACTTTTTTATTTTATTTTTTTTTTATTATCACACTGGCCGATTCCCACCAAGGCAGGGTGGCCCGAAAAAGAAAAACTTTCACCATCATTCACTCCATCACTGTCTTGCCAGAAGGGTGCTTTACACTACAGTTTTTAAACTGCAACATTAACACCCCTCCTTCAGAGTGCAGGCACTGTACTTCCCATCTCCAGGACTCAAGTCCGGCCTGCCGGTTTCCCTGAACCCCTTCATAAATGTTACTTTGCTCACACTCCAACAGCACGTCAAGTATTAAAAACCATTTGTCTCCATTCACTCCTATCAAACACGCTCACGCATGCCTGCTGGAAGTCCAAGCCCCTCGCACACAAAACCTCCTTTACCCCCTCCCTCCAACCTTTCCTAGGCCGACCCCTACCCCGCCTTCCTTCCACTACAGACTGATACACTCTTGAAGTCATTCTGTTTCGCTCCATTCTCTCTACATGTCCGAACCACCTCAACAACTTTTCCTCAGCCCTCTGGACAACAGTTTTGGTAATCCCGCACCTCCTCCTAACTTCCAAACTACGAATTCTCTGCATTATATTCACACCACACATTGCCCTCAGACATGACATCTCCACTGCCTCCAGCCTTCTCCTCGCTGCAACATTCATCACCCATGCTTCACACCCATATAAGAGTGTTGGTAAAACTATACTCTCATACATTCCCCTCTTTGCCTCCAAGGACAAAGTTCTTTGTCTCCACAGACTCCTTAGTGCACCACTCACCCTTTTCCCCTCATCAATTCTATGATTCACCTCATCCTTCATAGACCCATCCGCTGACACGTCCACTCCCAAATATCTGAATACATTCACCTCTTCCATACTATCTCCCTCCAATCTGATATCCAATCTTTCATCACCTAATATTTTTGTTATCCTCATAACCTTACTCTTTCCTGTATTCACTTTCAATTTTCTTCTTTTGCACACCCTACCAAATTCATCCACCAATCTCTGCAACTTCTCTTCAGAATCTCCCAAGAGCACAGTGTCATCAGCAAAGAGCAACTGTGACAACTCCAACTTTATGTGTGATTCTTTATCTTTTAACTCCACTCCTCTTGTCAAGACCCTCGCATTTACTTCTCTTACAACCCCATCTATAAATATATTAAACAACCACGGTGACATCACACATCCTTGTCTAAGGCCTACTTTTACTGGGAAATAATTTCCCTCTTTCCTATGTACTCTAACTTGAGCCTCACTATCCTCGTAAAAACTCTTCACTGCTTTCAGTAACCTACCTCCTACACCATACACCTGCAACATCTGCCACATTACCCCCCTATCCACCCTGTCATACGCCTTTTCCAAATCCATAAATGCCACAAAGACCTCTTTAGCCTTATCTAAATACTGTTCACTTATATGTTTCACTGTAAACACCTGGTCCACACACCCCCCTACCTTTCCTAAAGCCTCCTTGTTCATCTGCTATCCTATTCTCCGTCTTACTTTTAAATCTTTTAATAATAACTCTACCATACACTTTACCAGGTATACTCAACAGACTTATCCCCCTATAATTTTTGCACTCTCTTTTGTCCCCTTTGCCTTTATACAAAGGAACTATGCATGCTCTCTGCCAATCCCTAGGTACCTTACCCTCTTCCATACATTTATTAAATAATTGCACCAACCACTCCAAAACTATATCCCCACCTGCTTTTAACATTTCTATCTTTATCCCATCAATCCCGGCTGCTTTACCCCCTTTCATTTTACCTACTGCCTCACGAACTTCCCCCACACTCACAACTGGCTCTTCCTCACTCCTACAAGATGTTATTCCTCCTTGCCCTATACACGAAATCACAGCTTCCCTATCTTCATAAAACACCTGTATCTCACCAGTACCAGTTGCCTGCATTGAACTTGGGCAAATGTTTGTGTTCCATTCACTGTACCACACACATCTGTCATGTTCACACATAGGAAATCGCTAAGGGGCTTGTGTACTATGGAAATATAAACACATATGCAGTATAATGTGATCCTTTATTGACAATGTTTCACCCACACAGTGGGCTTTTTCAAGTCACACACAGATCTGTGTGTGACTTGAAAAAGCCCACTGTGTGGGTGAAACATTGTCAATAAAGGATCACATTATACTGCATATGTGTTTATATTTCCATTGTGTCGGTATTTTATACCATTTATTTCCACCGGCTTGTGTACTAGTTATCCATGTATAGTATATGCCCCTTACCAAAATATGGTTCCATCATTGTTCTCACCACATCACCTGAGATACCCAATAACTTCCTGGTATGTTTCAGTGTTTTGCTTCCTGTGTGCACAATCAGATCCAATACCAGACCGGTTTCACAATCACACAACACTTGATACCAAAGTATATATACACTGCTTGAATGAAGTCGACCTTTGAAAAGGAACAAAGACTCATCAATAACAAGATTCTTGAAGGGATAAAAATACACACTGAACTTCTATTTCAGATACATGAAAACATTCCTGATCTTGTATAACATGCTATCATGTCTGAGAAGTGTGCATATGTAACAGCAGGATAAATCTGTTAACTGGGATATCACTGAAGTCTGGGGTACAAATTAGGTGGTCAGTCAACCAGTATGATTGAATATTGTGCTTATACACATGTGGCATAAGCATTATTGTGGCAAGGAGTCAGTAAAGGTTGTGGGGATTGCTAAAGGAAAAATAATATCAGAAGTCAGTGTAATAAAGGAGCCACTGACAAAAAGTCAGAGGGAGTCTGTAACAAAGGTAGAGCTGTTTGGAAGGAGACCAAATAAAGCAAGTGTGTTAGACCGGTTAGGTGCCGGAAGTAAATTCTGCATGTGCATTGATAGATAGGACGGTCTATTAGTAAATTTGTAGGAGTCATACAGCACTTGGGAGGTATTTGGGGTCATTGCATTACACCCTTGACTACTTCAGTAGAATTATTGATTGTTAATGCTTGGCTTGAGGATTATCTTTGAATATGTACAGTGGTTTATTAATCAGTATAAATTTTTCAGCCAGACTTGAGTTCTGGAAATGGGAAGTACAATGCCTGCACTTTATAGGAGGGGTTTGGGATACTGGCAGTTTGGAGGGACATCTAAACTGTCATATCTGAGTGCCTCTGCAAAGACAGTGATTATGTATGAGTGATGGTGAAAGTGTTGAATGATGAAAATTTTTTTTCTTTTTGGGTCACCTTGCCGCAGTGGGAAATGGCCAACGTGTTAAAAAAAATCATTTTCTTTTATTTTCTACTTTTTTTTTCAGCACCATTGTTGGCGATGTGGAGAAGTGTTTTGCACTCGATGCATAGACAAGAAGGCAGCACTACCAGGCCATCTCAGCCAGCAGCCAGTACCTGTATGCAGACCTTGCTATAAAGATGTCACACGTTCCATTTCAGTTGATACCCCATAGATTTTAAAGTACTCTTTACGGCAATGTGATACATCAACTGATTAATACATTGATGTAAGTTGTTATCCACCAAATATTTTGTATTGTAGGAGCAGTTGGGTTTTACAGGGGAGTGGAAAGTTTGTGTAAACTAGTATGAAGTCATCTCTACATCATGCCTACTTAATCCTAAACCAGCCAGTGTTACTACAAATGCAGAATAGGCTGTGTACTCCTATCCTTTAGTTTACCTTGTAAATGCAACTAATTATACCTTTGAAACACTTCCAGTGAATCATCATGATCATCATCAATGCCAGCATGTTTACATGTACATACAAGTGTGGAGGGTCTGTTATAATTACCTTACTCATGTTAGTCACCGACCAATTCCACCCAAGCTAAAGGCCTAACTGTAACATTCAAGAAATTTTATGAAAAACTACACTAATTATTGTTGTAGAATTGGCTTGTATAACAAAACTTATTTGAAAATCAAATATAAAACTGATACTAATTGTTGCTGTTTCACAAATTTTAAAATTTTTGGTGTGGATATTTCTTGCAATCTCTTGTTTATTATAATAGGCATTTAAGAATATAAGTAGCAGATTTAAAGATACGTTTAATTGAATAATTTCAGTTGGCAGTAAAATGTCAAAGCTTACTCTGCTAAATTTCAGTAACTAAGTAATGGAAGGGAAAGGTTTTCATTTTGTTATTATACTCAAAAATAAACATTGAACAAATATAGGTAATTTGGCACTTGGTTTTGTTTGTATAGTTAATATTTTAACCCTTTTAGGGTCCATCCCGTAGTTCTGCGGCTTTGAAGCCAGGGTCCAAGCTGTAGTTCTTTGCCAGGAACTCAGCTTACTCAGATAAGCTGTGAACAGTAAATTTGGGCCTAGACACGAGAGAATACACCTGTGTGGTAAGTGTGCACCACATAAAACAAATCATGCAGCACGCAGTGCAAAATGAGAAAAAAAAAAAAAGCCGTATTTGTCAATTAAATCAACGACTTTGCGGTGCTTTTTTCGTATGTTTTTTATTGTTGCATTTGCAGTTTCTTGATCTCATTTGATAGAATGGAGGATTTATTACAGAAATAGAGATGAAAGTGGCTTGAAACCGAGTGGATATGTTCGATTTTTGCCGACGTTCAAGAATAAACAAATGTCATGTGTCCAATACACCTCAACTGGTGGTTCTATATACATGTTCACGAATGTGCTGATATTATTTTTACAATTATTACAATATTGCATGGCAGTAAATTTTCTATTTTTTTGGTGTGAATAAAATTCATGTGAATAAAAAGTCAAAATGGAATTCAATTGTAAAGCCTGAATACGTAACTAATAAACAGGAAATGTTATTTTAGTGCTAGGAATGCCTGCATTGTTTATTCTGGACCCTATTTTGAAATTGGAATATATTGAACTGTGTGAAAGTGGCTAAATTACCAATTTCTGATCACTCTATTGGGTAGTTGAAACAGTTGACTAGGCAATTTCCTGTGCTCAATCGATAAAATTGAAGTAATTCTAGCGAAATAGCTAAGAATTTGGTCAACTGGAATAATGTAATTGGCCTAAAATGGGAGTCAAAGTGGGCAAAATCGCCGATGCGTGAATATTGCTGATGCAGCAAAATTTGTGAGAGCATAATTTCGTCAATTTTCCATCAAATTTCATACTTTGTTTTATTTCCTTCAAAAAAAAAAAAAAAAAATTCTCTACCATTTCATAATTTTTTTTTTTTTTAAAAATCCTGGACCCTGTGGACAAGTTCAGATTGGGGGTCTGGACCCTGAAAGGGTTAAGACCATTTTTCAGTCATTGTTACTCTTGTAATAACACTCTTAGCTCAGTTGCATAATTTACATTGATCAGGAATCACAGTGTCAGTCTTTTACAGTATTCCTCTGAATTAGAAAAAAAATATTGTACTATTAAAATGTTGTTTGGAGTACCATATATTATTTTGCTTTGTTAGGTAAATGGACAAACACTGTTGGTAGTTGACAGAGCAATTGACTTTGTTGTGTAGCACCTGTAGTATGATCACTATGTTGTCAGCAGTGATATGGAAAAGCATCACTGAAAGTATTGTATGCATACTGATTCCTGACATATTTAGATACAGTACTTGCAAGTCATGAAATATTTTAATCAAACTTTTTTATTTTGTAAAGCAAGGCTGAAGCAAATACTGTTTTCTAGGTTATTACACCAGGAGCATAATAATGGGCATGTATGCTAGCACATACTGGTAGGATGCTACTAGTGCTAGCAGTGATTTTAATGATAGGAAAGCACTGAACTTGAATTGGTCATGTAGCAACTGAGTAAAGGGATGTAATAACGTTTAATGCAAGGAAGCATAATAGAGTTCCTTGGAGAAAGAGCCCCTTACTGACATTGAGGCTCCTCTCTTGAGAGTTATGAATGCTGGTAGATGATTGATATTATCATCAAGCAAGTGGGCACATCCACATACAATTTTTTTTCCATAAGTAATGTAGGATGTGCAGTATTATTATAATCAAAAAGAAGCGCTAAGCCACAAGGGCTATACAGCACTGCAGGGCAGGAAGGAAGCGAGGGTATCAGGTGGCAAAAGAGAGATGGATGAGTAATAGGTTACCGAGAACAGCAGAGGCAGTGGATGGTAAAAGGGTAGAGGGCAGCAAGAGATTGAGGTAGAAAGGGCTGAGGGGAGTGCAAAAGGTATCATCATCAGAGTTTGTGGAGTAAATCAGTCGTTGTCAAGAAGTCAGTGAGAGTCAGGATTAAAGGAGGGTCCATCAGCAAGAAGGGAAGGTAAAGAGAGAGTAGTAGAGCGGAGATGACGTTGTAGGTAAGGATATTCAGTAGCTATGTCATTTGTTTCTGCTACATTTTAGGTCATTCCTTGTGATAATTTACATTGTGATTATGAAAACAGATCATATAGGAGGTAATTCACCAAACACCCACACTTAGAGAGGATCATTAGGGTGACATTTTGATCTGTCCTAGACCATTGTTAACTCTCAATAGAGAGTAATAGGCAGGGAAGGCCTTCTATGCCTCTTAAGTTGCAATTTGATAGTCCATGACAGACTGAAATGTCATCCATATGTTCCTCAAGTAAGTGCAGGTTGTTGGTGAATTGTTCTAGCCGTGGTATTGTGATTATTATGTGGGAGGTAAACTTAGAAATAACATATGCAATAGTGCCCCTTTTTATTGTTATTCAAGGTTATAATAGGCATATATTATGACCTTTCCCCACACACACCAGTAAGACATGTAAGAAAAAAAATTTGTTTACAAGCATAATTACAATTTTTTTTTTTTTTTTTAATTTTAATAATTCATTATTACGTTTTTCTGTGTAAAATGTACAACAAAAATTTATATTAAATGTTTTTGCTACACCATGTAAGTTACACAGATGTTAGTAAAGTGTGGTCTTTGCCATACGAAAACCTAACTAGACCAATACCCCTTTATATACTTGAATACTTCGATTTTTATAGGTGTTGCATGGTAATGCCCTACATGTTTGGTGCTTCCTTGCATTAAAACCGAGGAAGCACCTTTAAGGGGTCATATGGGAAATGGGAAGCAATCAGGTTTGATCCAGAGACCTTTGATGTCATCAAGGCACAAATATACTAATTAGATTTTTATACAAGTTGTTCAGTAGATCTGAACAGATTTAATTGGTCATCAATTGAACTATCCACTAGTGTGTTTACATTTAGGCTGAAATTTGGGAGACAAAAATCATTATTAGCAGAAATTCATATAATGGAAGTTCTTTTCATAATTGCAATATTGAAAAGCACAGCATTAAGATTTTTCCAAGTTCAGTAGTGGATGAAGTAAATGAATTTGTGAAAAACCTGTTAACAACTTGACATCAGAAATATACATATATATATATATATATATATCCTCCATGGGGAAGTGGAACAGAATTCTTCCTCCGTAAGCCATGCGTGTTGTAAGAGGCGACTAAAATGCCGGGAGCAAGGGGGTAGTAACCTCTTCTCCTGTATATATTACTAAATGTGAAAGGAGAAACTTTCGTTTTTTCTTTTGAGCCACCCCGCCTCAGTGGGATACGGTCGGTGTGTTGAAAGAAGATATCTCTCTCTCTCTCTCTCTTTATATATATATATATATATATATATATATATATATATATATATATATAAATAAATAAAAACACACACACACAATGTTGGCATCTTGAATAATAATTACAGTAAGACCTCACATAACACGGCAGTTTTGTTCCTGAAATTGGCGCATTATGTAAAATTGTGCTATGTAATATATACATGTGAAAAATAAGGTCAGGTATGCTGCATCTCTAAGAAAACCATACAAATTTATTGTGTATTTCATCAAGAATAATAGTTCTTGATAACTGACATTGTAGATGTGGTTGCGTGTTAACCTAATACCACCTTTCATCACTTATGGCCAGTAATATTTCGTATTGTATTTGCTACCAGCTAACACCACCTTCAATCACCACCCAGTAGATACCTACAGAATGGAGGGGAATTTTCCAAGTGGGAACCAACCCATATTAACTTTAGCTACACTATACAGTCTGGAGCAATGTTCCAGTAATTTTGGGATATAAATATGATTTGGGTTTCAGTAAAAATGCACTACCTAAATTTATGTTATGAGAGGCCTGTCTGTATACTAGGAAAGCACTAAAACTTGAAGAATCAATACAGTCCTTCAGGAAATGAGTGATTATCAGATTTTATCTGAGGAAGGGGAGGGAAGGGTAGCACAATTTCTCAGATGAAGGGCCTCTTGCCAGCATCAAAGCAATGCTTTCCCCCCCTTCTCCCTCTTCTTTGAAGACTGGTATCTTGGATAAGGCTTGTGAGCTCAGGTTAACAGATGTGGATCCAGATAATGCCCAGTCCAAATTAATGGAAAGAAATGCATTCTTGGCAGAAGGTTTCTTATAATTAGGAGGGAGACAAAACTGAGTAGCCCTATTTGTCAGGAAGCGGTAAAAATTTAAGGAAATAAGGCTCCAAATTGTCCAGATATCACAGACTACATAATAGGCACAATAGCCTGTCAGACCTAGAGTAGTTACAATAATGTACTTTGCCCTGAACAACAACATATTCACAATTTATATTGTGAATAAAAAAAAGCCATTCAAGGTCAAGCCTATATCATATTTTTTTTATACAAGCTTTCAAGACTAATCTTTGCAAACCTTAAAGGGTCTTCTATGAATGGAGCAGTTCCTGCTCGTTAACCAGCATTTATATTAAAGATTCTTATTACAGAACTTTATATCACATAGTTTGATACAAGTGTGAAATGCCAGCAGGCTGGAGTAAAAGTTATACTTTACTGTATATGCAGAGTAAAATTTATTTACATTTTTGCTTTATGTGAAGTTTTACCAAGACTTGATAAGGGTTCATTAAGACACCAGACCTTGTTACAATAAAAGCTTTCTCTGCATATGCACTGTCTTGTACTCCATCTCTACACTCACCATGATTAGCTATGTATTGTCCTGGTGCTCACTCTTATTACATTAATAATATACATACTGGTACCTACACAGAGCTTTAAATATCATATCCCAATTTCACAACTTTAGCAAACATACAAACTATTTTGTTTGTATTCATGCTGTGTCTTTAGCTAAGCAGGTAAATTCTAGACTGGCTCTCAGATACTTTAAGTGTATTACAGTACCATTCAACATTTTCACATGTGTGAATGTTTCACATTTTGGGTATGTGTAGTATGATGGTGCACACATTAAAACATTAATCTAAATGAAGTACTGTACTTGGATAACTGCATATTATGTCAGGAATATAAATAACTAGTGCTGGAAACATTCCATTTTTTAAATTCACATTTGCCTAAAAACCAAACACTATACAGACTGAGAAGCAATATTACAGCCTTTTCTGGAGAGTAGAATTTGCTCTGCCTCACCCACGATACATTAACGAATTACAATAACATTCTCAAGACCTTTTGTACCCTGTATTTACAAACTTTACAATGAGATGGTATCATTTTGCCCTGGTAGCTACACAAGATAGGTGTGATGGTATCATTCAGTCATGGTATTTACACAAGTTAGGTGCAGTGTTATTGTCTTAGAAGCTACACAAACTAGGTGCGATTCACTGTCTGCCACTTAACTACAGTCGTACAGATACAATAATATTTTTCTGTCATTTTTGTATCTTGGTAAAGTCAGTCAATTCAGGCTCACTTTGTGTTGTCTGCTTAGTCAACAATTACATGTAATTCATTCAAAAGCACCAAACTAGCATGGGTCATAAAACATACTCAAGTCAACATCATTCTATTGTATAAATAGTAACATGTAATTTTTAACTGTAAAATTAAATTTTAAATTATAACAAGGTCAATTTGTATGAAGTAGGAATAACTTAGATTTTAGGATTCTTGTATTTATATTATGGGCAAGTATGAGTTTTTGCTAAATTGAGTCAAAAACAATTTGTGCTTCTTTACTAATCAAATTTCTTGTTAGCATTTATCTAATGCACAACAGAATACATGTGCTTTAATTTAATAGTCATCCATGCCAAACCCACTGAATGTTCAAGGCCAGTTCTAACATGAAAATGGTGTGGGCTACACAATGAGCCCATCAGTCCATTGTTACTGCATCAGGACTAACCTAATGTAATTTGAAAATTAATACAGTACATAAGCCACCCCTGCCTCAGTGGGAGATGGTCATTGTGGAAAAAAAAAAAAAAAAAGTGAATCTTTTAAATCAAGTTTACAGTTAAAGATGCATAAACAAGCTATTGGATTTTCAAGTGAAAAATCAGTGTTGAAGGATAAATGTTATGCAAAAGGTGAAGCTGCTAAAATCCAGTACACAGTATGTGAAGAGTATCATCAGTTTGAAAGCAAAAATCATTATTAGCTTTAGAGTGCCGACTTTTACCAAAAATTAATAGAAGTTATTTTTATAAATTATAGATAATGTAACAATATTAAGTTCAGCAACTGAGTATAGGCAAAAATTTAAATCTATAACTTGTTTGGCCACAACTCAATTTTAACATTTTCTAGAACACTTCTTCCTATAAAGCTGTACTAAACAGTTGACATGAAATGTCTAAGATAATTTGTTTGTACAAAAAATGAAATCTTAATAAAACCACTGTAGCAGGTTTGCAGTGATCTAGATATCTGACCTCCCTATTGTCATTCCTACATCACCAGAAATGGAAATGTTTACCAGCATAGTGTGTTTATTGTCTTTCAATATTAAACATAATACAAGCAGTCTTTGGACTCTTTCCAAAATGTTCATATTTTGAAATATTTCCACTGTCATTGCATGATGGTGCAATGTTAATATTTATAACTGTGTAGAAAGAATCCATGTAATTTGTACCTTGTAGAAACTGAATAATATAGCTGGAACACAAAATACTGTAGCTGTGTACTGAATCAAATAAAATACTGTAAAGCATCTACTTAAGACAAGTTAGGCAGTAAAGTCTGCTAGTTGAATGTTTATAACAGTGATGACACAAATGTTGACTTTTTTAAAGTGTTCAACTCCACTTAGTGGATGTAGTTTAATTTTCCTGTTCACAGTTGGCACTATGAATTAAGTATGAACTCTGAGTTTAAAATTGTGATTAAAATAATAGAAATATATGGTAATAGTTCTGCTTCATTAATAGTGCACACATCACGTTTTGCAAAAATGTTTCCAGTGGTGTACAAGTGACTGTTGTTTTTTAATGTTAAATACTGTACTGGTATGTAAATAAACTTTATTTATTGTAAATATAGAACACTGGGCTGCATCAGGGTTTACAATGGTGTGATAGCTACTTATTTTTTACATGTATAATAGTGATAATTTGTTAAAGACTATTATTCTTCATTCATAATTCTATGATCTGAGATGTGAAATAAAAAAAATTTAAAAAGATTGTGCATTTCATTACTACCCCTCAAAAATGTCTTTGTTCCACTTATCATTCATCTCATCCTTCCTCTTCCACTTTTAAATTTCCCTTTCATTTTCTGCTTCCTCTCCTGCCCATGTATCCTCCCCTACAACTTCATTTTATTTACATCTTTGTTACATACTGTAACACTTTTTTTCAACTTTATTACCTATAATCAGCCTTATTTCCAACCCCTCTAGTCACCTACATTCTTCCTCTCCCACTAAATTTCTTCTCTCATTCTATTCCACTAATCTCTGTCTTCCACTATTTTTTTCCCCAGTGGGAAGACTTCATTTGGTGGGTAGATTATAATCCTGGTTTTTCCCAGTCACACTGGTAAGACAAAAAATACTTCACCTGCAGGAGACCTTTATCAAGTATAGTAGAACAGTGGACCCTTGGTTATCGGCCATAATCCGTTCCAGAAGGTTGGCCTCAATCCGAAATGGCCGGAAACCGAAACATTATTTCCCATAAGAAATAATGTAAATACAGTACAATTAATCTGTTCCAGACACCCAAAAATATTAACAAAAAATACATTTTTTAAAGATTAACTATAGTTTTACATACAAAACAGTGAGAACTAAAAATAAATAAGTGAACATTTAAATCACTATTACATATTACTCTTGTTGGCGTATGGACGATGGGGAGGAGGAGAGAGGGAGGATGGAGTATTGTTTGGAAGGGAAATCCCCCTCCATAAGGACTTCAGGTATCAAAGCCCTCTTTGGGGTTACTTCCCTTCTTTGTCTTTTACTTCCACTAGGACCAGCTCGAGTCAATGCACCCGTCGCACAAAAAATCTGTCAAGAGAGCTCTGTTTCTCACGTCTCTAAGATTTGCCTGAAGTGGGACAAAGTTTTGTCAAAGAACATGTTGCAGATATGGCTTGTTTGAGCTTGGTCAGGGTGATATTTTTCAATAAAAGTTTGCACCTCCCTCCACTTTGCACAAATGTCCTTAATCACTGAAGAAGGCATATTCTCCCCTTTCTCTTCCTCCTCCTCTGAACCAATTTCCTCAGCTGTGGTCTGTTGCTGTTCCAGATGAAGGTCTTGCAGCTCTTCAGTGGTCAGCTCTTCCCTGTTGTCCTCCACCAATGCTTCCACATCCTCATCACTTGCCTCCAGCCCCATGGGACACGTACACCACTCTCGTACTTCTCAGCAATTTCTTTTTTTAAATTCCATCATGTTTCCCACTTTCTTTACCAAAGGAACTTTACTAGGAACTTTCTTTGGGCCCATGGTGGCTTATTTCGCAGTTGCACTCAATCGGTAACCACAAAAAACAATGGATTATAGCGAAATGTTTGGATGAATGCGTGGAGGCTTCCTCACTCACCCAGAGACACAGCCAGACTGACTCACAAACGTGGTGGAGCGGCGAGTGGACGTGTTCAATATGGCCGATCCCTGAAATAACGGCCGATTACCGGGATAAAATTTCTGCCAAAAAAAGCAGGCGAAAACCAAATTAGCCGATCCAGAATGGCCAATAACAGAGGGTCCATTGTACACAGTAAAGGAAAAAAAATTCTTTACCTGTTACATATTAGGTGAAAGATCAGGAAGTGGTGCTGGAAAGGACTGCAAGAGACTTACTGGCCATTGATACCTGGGCCTGCAGAGCTCCTCTGATGTCCCACTTCCTGATCTTTCATCCAACCTCAGTTGCAGAGTGTACCACTGAAGCATTGCTCTTGTGTTTTCCATATACAGCCTCTCCTCACTTATTGACGGAGTTCTGTACCTAAGACCACGTCAGTAAACGAATTTGTTGCTAAGTGAAGACCATTCTATAATGGTACTGGATTTGTGTCAACTATCTTTGGTACTGAACAACACTAACAACACTATCTTTGGTACTGTTTTAATGTCACCTTTGCACCATTTATAACATTTTTGGTATATTTTTAAATGTTTACAGTAGTGTACTGTATATTGTAATAAACAGAATAGAGGAAATCAGCTCTAATATACATTTATAGGCATGCATACTGGTCAGAGAGCCCGTCATAAGTCCGAGGTGCTGGTAAACGAGTACGTCGCTAAGTGAGGAGAGGAAGTACTTTATAAAAGAACCCCATGAAACATACCATTGCTTACCTGCATTTAGTGTCTAGACAACTGTTGGCCTTTCATGCCTCAATTCTGCACACTTCTGGCTGGGACTTACTAGAGTGGTTATAGCCCGTACTTTTTGCACTGTAGTGATATATTTATTGGGAAGTGGTAGAACCATAAGTCATACAGTGCCCAGGAATAAAAGATGAAGGTAATCAGATTTGATCCAAGAAGAGGGAAGATAGATAACTCCAATTCCTTTAATCAAAAGCTCTTTACCAGTATAAAGACAATCTCTGCATGAAGCTCCATATTATATTTAAGGAGTCAATACAGCGCCTGGGAAAATGGGGAGTAATCCAGTTCGATTCAATGAAGGGGATATACCTTTGAATAGTTTCGAGAGTTTCACTACTCTTGGAGCCCGGCCATGGGCCAGGTTTGTCTGGTGCTTGCCTGGTCAACCAGGCTGTTGCTGCTGGAGGTCTGCTGCCCCAAATATCCATCACAGCCTGGTTGATCTAATTCCTGTTACTCAGACCTAATTCCTGGCTTCAAGAAATGCCTCCCATGAAGGATAGCAATCTACATACTCCTTGTTTCTGTTCACCTGGAAGTTGAGCCTGCACCCTGGAGCTATGGTCCTTCAGTGGCAACACTTGTTGCACTGATAGAAGTAAAACTTGAGATATGATGTTGCCCCTGCTTGAATTAGTGGGTCAAGCACGGATCCTTCACGATGTAGTGTCTTCTAGTCTACTGTCTTGTGTCTAGTGCCTTCTCTTATTGGGTTCTGTAGTAAATGGAAATACTATACAGAGCTGCAATTCTTAGACCACTGTTTATGGATAATATCACTTTAATGTTTCATTCTCTACTTTCTTAACTGCTACATTTTCAAGTTAATGACCTTTCTAAACCTTATAAAAAAAACTGTGCTACACCTCCTATAAACATCTTGGGGCCATACACAAGGACAAACTTCTTTATTATCTAGCTCAGAAAAACTGAGAACATTTTACAATGAGCATGAAATTAACCAAGTACAGTGGAACCTTGGTTGTTGAATGCCTTACTTGTCAAGACAAATCAGTTTTCGATTGAGGAATTCGAGAAAAAATGTCCTGGTTTTCGTAAGTGCTCTTGGTTGCAGATGGACAAAATGAACAGGCCAAAGTGGCTTGCCAGACAATGCGTTGACAGCATGGATTTCGGTCAGTATAGCCAACAAGTCACGTGCTGTATGCGTCTCTTGAGCTTTTGTTGTGCATCTTGTGAACTTTTTTGTTATTTTGCAGTTGTGGTGCTACTTTTTTTATTGTGAGATAAGCCACGAGTCCAAAGAAGGATAATGAGATAAAAGCAAAAACAAAAGTTATACAAAGCACTGTTGAGTTTAAAAAAGGAGTAATTCAAAAGTATGAAGTGGATAGGCTCTGTGTAGTTGATCTAGCAAAACTTTTTGGCAAATCAGTGTCTACTATCAGCACGATACTGGGCCAAAGGGAAAATATTAAAGCAGCTGACTTTGCAAAAGGTATGAAAGCGATATCAAGGCAAAGGGCACAAATGACTGAGGAGGTTGAAAAACCGGTTGATTTGGATAAACGAAAAACAGTTGCATGGTGATAGTGTTTCAGATGCCATTATTTGCAAAAAAGCAAGGCAATTGCATGATGACCTGAAAAAAATGGAACAAGTGCTGAAATGCAATCCTTCAAGGCTAGTAGGGGTTGGTTTGATAATTTTAGGTAAAAAAGTGGCATTCATAGTGTGGCTAGGCATGGGGAAGTTGCCAGTGCTGACAAAGTGGCTGTTGAATAGAGGAGGGAAGGGATGATGGGCCCATTGCACATGTCAAGGAAATGTGTATTAAATGGCATGAAGTGCAGGAGTTTGCTGAAAAATACAATCCAGACAAAGAAGTGGGCATCAGTCTCTCTAACATGTAAAATAACAGTTTAATGTCTCAATTTAGACAAATGTTAAAACAGAACCTGAAACAAACCTCACTGGACAGATTTTTAGTGAGAGATTCAGTGAGACAGAACAAGGTGTTAGTGGTGAAGAGAGACAAAGAAGAGAAACAACACCAGGAGAGTTGCCTGACATATTAGGAGACCCCTTCCAAGCAGTAACATACCCTCCTCCTCCATCTCCTGCTTCCAGGCAGTTAAATTTTCATTTACTGTACAGTATTTCAGTTTAAGTTTCTTTTAATATTCATTTTTACAGTTTTATGTAGTAGTTAGTACATTTTTAATAAATTGTCATATTGTCATTTGGGGTTTGGAACAGATTAATTCTATTTATAGTACATTATTCTTTATCGGAAAAATTGCTTTGGTTGTCGTTGATTTGGTTGTCGAATCGACACCTGGACTGAATTAAATTTGACACCCAAGGTTCCACTGTACTCCTAACCACAGTTAACCAAACAACTCCTTGCCATGTACTGCCCAATAGGGCAGAATTTATACAGTACATACAAAGCATACATACAAAGCATGTCTCAACTGATAAATCTTATACAGTATATTAACAAGACCCTTCAAGAGAGATGCCTACATGCCAGTGAGGAGTTGCTGACTAAAGGAATTAAATCTAATGTCCCTTTCCTTGAATTAATCCCAAGTACCTTCCATTTCCCCAGAGGTTATGTGACCCCCCTACAGGTTCAGCATTTTCCTGTGAATGTAATGTATTAAGGCTCCAAATTCACATGACTTACACAGTGATGAATTTGCAATGGAAATAAGTCACCCTGTCTGACTTTTTTGGGTTATCCTAGGTTCTCTACACATATGCTGCTATGTATGATAATCTATGTACTATCTGTGTATACCTGAATAAACTTATTAAAGATTCACAAGTGTCTTAATTTATCAACTACCTTCCTACCTGGA